ATGATAAAGAGAATGTGGGTTGCGATACCAGAGTATATAAAGAATTTATTTGATAAATGTTTGAGGAACGGAATTTTTCCGGAAAAATGGAAGGTTTCAGTGTGTGCGAACGGGAATACAATATCTCCATCCCGGCCGGAGATATACGGGTTCCGGGAATCTCCACGTGGGTGTTAACCTACAATTCTGCCCCCGCGTGGTAAAATCGTCTCGTGTTACCTATGTATCTCCGGCAGCGGCTATCTTGGCATCGGCCATAGCAGTAGTACCACTACCAGTGCGCGCGGGTTATTTGAATGAAGGAGAGTTCTCGTAGCTGCGAGAACTCTCCTTTTTCCTTTAAAACACTTGTGGAAAGTGAATCGTTCCTTCGACTCTGCCATTTTCTGTAAACATTTAGTGGAAAGTGCGGAGTGTTATCGCGCCAACGGACACACGTCTTAGCAACCACGGGGCACTACGACCAAGGGAAATGTCAGGAAACAAGAAGGAGGGAGTCCAGCCATCCCTGACGACACCCACACAGGGTCCAACTAACACCGCCAGTGGCCCTGGTCCGCTAAGGAGAGAGGGAACAAAAGTGAACCCAAGGAGGGTAAGTTTTTCTGCCACTCCACCCTCTCTCCAAGCAAACCCGCATCCGCACCGGTGTCCAAAGTGCGGACACGGTTGCGAGACCAATGGGGGGCTGCAGAAGCATATGAAGCTATGCATAACACGTGACACGTCAAAGTGTCAATTCAGCGAGAGAACCTTCCCCACGTTCCAGGGGGTGAGGCAGCACGAAAAGAAAGCGCATCCAGACCTATATGCGAAGGAAATAGAAGATAGCCTGCCGAGGCCGGAACACGAGCTTTACGAGATCCTTGCGGCCATAGAGGTCTCCACCTTGAAGGGTAAACCGTTCGTAAAAGAAATAGAAAAAGCCACCGGCCTCCCTAGCCATCAGATCCGCCACAAGCGGGATAAAACAATATACACAGAATATCTCGCACGTGTACTACCCCTGGAACGGGGTGCGACGAACTTGATGATCCGTATACGGAACACCTAGGAGCTCCCTGGCCCCATAGAGGTCCCAGCAGTGCTGCCCATAGCCAGTAGCCCCGGGATACACTCTTCTCGAATCCCAGGACCCTCCACTGGGAGGATACCATGGGCAGCACCAGTCACTACCAGCGACAGCGAAGACTCGTGGAATGATCCTCCCCAAATAGCGCTAACATCTAAGAAGCGTTTGCGGCAAGCGGATACCCCGTCACCGGGGGCACAAGCGCCGTCAAGAAGACCGCGAGTCGAGTACTCGACAACAGCAAGTCAAGATCCCTCCCCACTTCCACCAGAAGTTCGTCAGTTGAGTGAGTCCCCACTGGCTGCTCCAGAAGTGATTGAAATCACTACCAGCCCACACGCGGTGGCGATGGATGAGCAGCCAGAGGAACCCACCATCGATCCCGACCTCTACAGATATCTCCTTTCGTCAAAGGATGAGGTCGAGGATCAACTATATAAGGGGACTCTGAGCTCAACTGACAATCTCATAGGTCTGATCGATGCTGGCATGGAGGCCAGCGATCAAGAACTGTCCTCTTTCATCTAAACCTGGATCCATCAGAACTTCGAGAAGAGGAAGACCACTCGACCTGGGAGGAGGGCCGCTGTGCCGCCTGACACACAAGCGGTGGAGGTGCGTCCCGGGAGCAACCCCGGGGCGCGCTCCTCGGCCGCAGGTTGTCAGGCAAAGGGCAGAGGGAAAAGTACACGGAAAGCAAGGCATTACGGCCAGCAGTCCACAGGGAACAATCCTAGAGCAGCCCAGTACAAAAAAACTCAGGATCTGTTCAATGAGAACAAAAGTAGACTGGTGGACCGCCTGCTCGCAGGGAAGTCCCTGGATGACGCTGACGTCTTCCCCTCTGTCCAGGCAGTCGAGGAACTCTTCGGGGGGATATTGGAGAGCGCTTCTCCCCCTGATGACGAGGTCTTCATCGACCCGAAAACATCCACCTGCACCTTCAAGCCGATATTGCCCGAAGAAGTCGCCCGAGCAAAACTTAGCTGGTCCATATCAGCACCAGGGACCGACGAGGTGCAGGTGATGACGGTAAAGAAAACAGCTGATCGGGATCTGGCGATTTTGTTTTCCATGCTTTTGATGAGGAACATTCACTTGCAGTCGTTCGATAAAATGAGGATCACCCTCATTCACAAAGAAGGCGACCCTAGGGATCCAGGGAACTGGAGACCTATCACCATCGGCTCCTTCATCCAGCGTCTATTTCACCGAGTCCTGGCCCATCGGCTCAAAATCGCGACCTCTCTGAACATGGACCAGAGAGGCTTCACAGAAGTGGATGGAACTATGGCCAACACGATCATCCTGTACCACTACATCCGCTCCAGGAGAAGAAGAGAAGCCTGCTTCAACGTGTTGGCACTTGATGTCAGGAAGGCCTTCGACACGGTCTCTCACGAGTCCGTCCTCAGGGCCCTTGCCAGGATGGGAGTGGATTCGGAAATCCAAACCTATATTAGGGGCACCTTGACCAGTTCCTCTACCACCATCAAGACTGGCTCTGGCAGCACGCGTAACTTCAGGGTGAGTAGGGGGAATGAACAAAGGGAACCTCTGAGCCCTCTATTGTTCACCCATGTCATCGACGAGTTGATCTGCCATCTAAACAGTGGATCGATCCACTGGCGGAACCCTTGCCCCTCATGTTAGGGTATCTGCCATGGCCTTCGTCGATGACATAGTTGTCCTTGAAGATGAAATGACCGGCTTGCTGAAGCCAAGTCTGAGTAATCTTCCTCGGTGGCTCACTAATATCGAGCGTGCTCCTTTGAAACCGGATCAAAAACTAAAGGTCTTGAAGGAGCACATCATACCGAAATAAATGTTTGGGCTTCAAAATCCCAGGGTCACAGGCCAGATATTACGATCAGCAGACCGCCTCATAAAGCGGTTCGCTAAACATATTCTCCACTTAAATGAGCACACCCCTGACGCGGCACTTCATGCCAAAATCAGGGACGGTGGCCTTGGTATTTCGGAGCTTCGACATTTCATTCCGGGCGTCTTCCTGAAACGCCTGACCGGGCTTCTTGACCACGTCGACGACCGATGCTTGAGCGCCGTCCTACAGTGTGTCGAAACGCGAGGACTGATGGAACGACTGAATACATTGAAAGGCGACGTTCCAAATGATCATCTGTGGCGAGACCGTCTAATGCAGGCGCCCACATTGAAAGGTCTCGAAAATTCCACAGATGATCCCGCCAGTAGGAGCTGGATAGACCAGAAGTCACAAGGATGGACAGGCCGAGACTTTGTCAGAGCCGTGCAACTGAGATCTAACAACCTGCCCGTAGCGGGCATCATGTCCAACCCGCCGGAAATGCGGAAATGCAGGGCCGGTTGTGACAAAGTTGAAAGCCTGTCCCACGTCCTACAATAGTGTCCCGCCACACACTGGGAGAGGATCAGGCGTCATAACGAGGTAGTCAAGAAAGTCGCCGGGCATTGCAGGAAGAAGCAATGGACGACCTAGGAAGAACCCCACGTCCGGCACCAGGATGGCACACTGTTCAAGCCAGACCCGGTTGTCCACCAAAACACTTGTACGCTTATCGTGGTCGTAAATTCTTAGAGGCCGCACGACAAAGCTGGCCTGGCAAGTCTCTACAAGTCTTGCCGTTGATTGTTGGTGCTAGAGGAATCTGGCCAAGGTGCAACGGGCCCACCGATGAAGCGCTCAAACTGACACGGGCGTTGAGGGCGAGCTGTGTACACAGCGCGCTCAAATGGAGCTCTTCGATCCACCAATCGTTTGGTCGAAGAGTCTGGAGACGGCGTTGAGGGCCCTCCTGACATTAGCGTGTGATTGAGGTGCGACGTCGCGGGTGTCATAGTTTTCGCGGTTTTCTCCCGCAAATAATTGTCGAGCTATTTCAAAGTGTTGTGGGCGTCCCTAGAATAAGAACGGTTTCAGAGTGTTGTTTCGTCCCTTTTCACTATCATGCTTTATTTTACTATCAACCTGTTTATGCTTGTGGCATTTTTGATTGTATCTAACTTATTTATTTATAAATTCCACTATCTTGACAGTGGTGACTGACCACGCATACTCTCACAGTGTCAGCACCACTTTTCCTTTGAAATTTCAATTCTATTTAGAGATATGAGGACTTTTAATTTTCCCCACCAGGAACTATAGTGAATGTGCTTCGACTTACCCCCGATTGGGGTCATAACTCTGTATCATATTCCGCCCTGCGCGGCGCAGATATTAACCCACAACAGAGGGTACATGTATGCCTCGTCATCTAATTAGTGACGCGCATGAATGGATTAACGAGATTCCCACTGTCCCTACCAGACTTTAAATGTGAATTGCCTAAAAAGAAGAGACCCTTAATGATAATTTACGACGTAACCACGAATAAACCGGACGACGAGATCGTCGAGGACTTGAGGACACAGAACTTTGAGGACATCTCAGAGGAAGAATTCAAAAACGAATTCAAAGTAAGATTTAAGACCGGGCCGAAAGGCAAATCAACATGCAACTTAGTTGTAGAGGTATCTCCACAGCTAAGAAAAAAGATGAGTGGCAAGAAATTATACATTGGTTTCACCAGTGTAAATACAAAAGATTATATTGTAGTCCCGAAATGTTTAAAGTGCCAAGACTTAGGTCACATTGGCAAGTATTGTGCAAAAACTGAGAACATATGCAGCCACTGTGGAGAGAGTGGGCACATAAAGAAGGACTGTCAAAAGAAACAAGACCCGAGTGTTTGCATTCCGTGCAAAAACAGGGGGAAAACTTGTAAGAATGGGTCGGACTGCCAGACGCACAGGATGCTGCTGGACAGGATGATCCAGAAAACCGACTATGGCCAGTAATCTCCCCTCGGAGATAATGGCCATAAAGGTAGAAGAAAGAGGATTAACAACTGAGAAAACCCCTTCTAAAAGCCTAAGGGACAAGCTCAGAATGCTATCTTTCAAAAGAAAGAAAAAAGAAAAAGATAAAGAAAGCGAACCCATAACAAACGAGGAAACAAAACCAGTCACGAAAACCATATACGACAATATGGAAGTAAATATGCAACTTTCAAGACTGGAAGAAGCAAAGATCCTCACAACTGCCCTAAGGCACTATGTGAGGAATAAGCATATCGAAGGAAACAAAATCACCTTCCCGGTTCCGGGAGCGGTGGACCGAATTCAGCTGAAATGTCATAATATTCCTACAGACGTCACCGAACTGGAAAGACTCCTAAAGCAAGTCTTCGACAGAAGAAACAAGGTCTTGGACCTTGAGGAACTGTACAGTGACTTTGCACAAACCCATGGGAGAGTAGCTTTTGATCATACAAAGCCCTGGCCGGAGTGCCACATACACCTAAGATCACCGTAGCGATCCGAATCGGACAGATCAACTGCATGCGCAGTGCAGCAGTTGGTCACGAGATAAGGAAGGTTGCGGAGGAAATGAAGGTGGATATGATATGCATACAAGAACCCTATACTAAACGAGGGAAAATGATCAACATGCCAATAACGGCACAAATACAAAGCATAGGGCAGAACCCAATGGCAGCAACTGTACTGTTCAACAAGAACTATAGACTGTTTCTGCTGAAACAGTTCAGTGACGAGCACTGCGTCTGTACGGAATTACAAACAAATATCGGCAAATTCATCATTGCGAATATATACTGCCAATTCAATGAGGGCATAGAAGAATACATCGTCAAGATGCGAACAATCTTCCAAACATACAGGAATATCCCTGTCATAATAACAGCAGATGCCAATGCAAAATCAGTGTTGTGGCACTCTGGATTAACAGACGCCAAAGGCGAAGAACTGGAAAATCTCATAAATGAACTTCAGCTTGAAGTACACAACAAGGCAGGTAACCCACCGACCTTTCAGAACAGGGCTGGTGCCGCGACCAACATAGATATCACGATATCGAATGTTAAGGCGGCAAACCAGATCGTGGAATGGAGGGTTGGGGATAACCTAACAGTGAGTGACCACAATCTGATAAGTTTTGGCATCAGAAAGGGAGCGGTAGATATAGGACCAATGGTGAAACGATATGACATGAGTAGAGCAAATTGGGAGACTCTGGCAGCTGAGTTCGAGCCGCCGAGACTGGAAGGAGAGGAAGGAGATGTACATGAATATGCAAAGAGCATAACCCATGAAATTAAGAGAGTAATGAATCTTGCCATCCCCCAAACGTACTCTGCAAAGTACCCAAGAAACGATGCTTGGAGTGAAATGCTCACCAGACAAAGAACCCAAGTCAGAAATGCGAGAAGAAGATATCAGAGATGCGGAGTACATGAAGAACGCCAAAGACTCCTGCAAAGATACAGAGATTTGAGAACAAGTTACCTCGCACAAATAAAAGAGACAAAAGCAAAGAGCTGGGAAAAGTTTATACAAACCCATCTGGAAACGGACATATGGGGAATGCCTTACAAGATCGTAACGAAAAAGGTCAGATGTCCTACCATGCTCTCCTCTCTTGAAAGAGAAGACGGGTCCTTGACCAGGACATGGGAGGAATCGGCCGAGCTCCTGATGCAAACTTTATTACCCTCAGATGAGCACGAGGGTGAAACTGTGGAACAACAAAACACAAGAAGGGCAATGGTACAACCATACCATGAGCCACCAGAGACGATCTTGAATCCATTCACTGAAGATGAAATAACAGATTGCTTAAACAAAATGAAAAAGAAAAAGGCTCCAGGGCCTGACAGCATACCAGTGGAAGTGCTAATGGCACTAAGGCAAAAACTGATCCCATCTCTGTGTACACTATATAACGAATGTTTGAGACAGGGCAAAATACCAAAAATCTTTAAACAAGCAGATGTAATAATAATAAGTAAAGGGGAGGACAAAGATCCAACAAAACCAAAATCATGGAGACCGATATGCTTATTAAACTCGATGGGTAAGCTTCAAGAGAAATTGTTATGTAAAAAACTTGGTGAGCATAGAGAGACAGTAGGAATCCATCCAGACCAATATGGTTATAGACCTGGAAAATCGACTGAGGATGCGATTAACAAAGCCATAACATTGATTGACAGTAGCGACAAAAAATATGTGATTGCAATATATATAGACATATCAGGAGCTTTTGATAATCTCTGGTGGCCCGCATTTTTCGGAAGACTTCGAGAAATGCGATGCCCGGAAAAACTTTATAAAAGTTTTAGAAGCTACTGTCAAGATAGATATGCAAGTCTGAGCTGTCCAATAGGCAAAAAGACAAAATGTCTAACCAAAGGTTGTCCTCAGGGTTCTGTGTGCGGCCCAGTTTTCTGGGATATCATGCTCGAAGAGCTTCTTATCCGGTTGTTCGAAGCGGAAGATGCACTAGGCACTGTTGCATACGCTGATGATCTGTTAATAATCGTGGACGGGAACAGTAGAAGAGAAATCGAAACGAAATGTAACAATGTTCTTGAGATAGTGAACAGGTGGTGTGATAAAGTCAAACTACGGATATCGACAGAAAAGACTACATATAACATTGTAAAAGGACAGCTGAACAGAGACCCGCAAGTTCGGATCAATGGTCAGCTGGTCCGAAGAAAGCAAAGAGTCAGATATCTGGGAATCACAATGGATGAATCCAGAATGTTTGCTTATCACATCACCGACGTCTGCAACAGAGCCACACGGCAATGCACAGGATAACGAGCCTAGTGCAAAGGGAAGTTAGGATACCCTTCAGACAGGTGAGAGCCTACTTGAGCGTGGTATTGGCATCGATAACTGGTTACAGTGCAAGCGTGTGGGTACATAGGCTGCAAAACATTAAGAACAAAGAAAAGGTTGACAGAACACAGCGGGGTTTCCTCGTCAGAATGACAGGAGCCTTCCGTACAACTGCTACGCTGGCCCTGACAACACTCGTTAGGGTCATGCCGATGCAACTTGAGGTGAAAAAGAGAGCAGCCATGTACTGGATCAGGCGTGCAGACTACGCAAAAGTACAGGCTATATTAGGACCAGACATACGAACAAAGAAACAAGTTAATCGTGAAATAGCAAGGCAATGGCAAGAGATGTGGGATCAGTCAGATAAGGCCAGAAGAGTCCATGAAATTTTACCAACAATAGAAGAAATACCAACCTGCAGGGTAGCAGACAGGTAAATAATTGCATGTAGCATGTAGTAGTAATTAGAGAAAGTACCATGCAGCATGTCGCATGGTACAGTAGAATAGTTAAGTAGTAAAGTAGAAGTAGTATTAGTGCATGACTAGTGCATAAATTGCATGTAGCAGTAGAATAGTAAAATACTAACATAGGTTTAGTAGAGGTGTTGGAGAATTGTCGACTATGTATAACAATATGTAACAAAAACATTCCAACACCTAGTAGATTAGGACTTTTTTACTAACATAATTATAAGGAAAAAAAAGAGAAAAAAATACAATAAAAAGAATTTGGGAATAAAATAGAAAAAGTTAGCAAAATATGATCTGTTTTAAATTCATTAGTTAACAGATTAATAAAGATTTAGAGTAAATGAAAAAAAAAAAAAAAAAAAAAATGTCCCTACCAGTACTCTGGTCTCTCTTCATTGCGAATAAATCTTTCGCCTTTCGCCAGATAAACCATTAAAAGTGATATTCAGTTTGCACTCAAAGTTTATAAATTTTGTATTGTACCTGAGGTTAGGCACTTGAGTGGTTTTATTGGCAAATTTTCACAAAGCAAACTTCACGGTTATCTGGGGTCCACCTCCACGCAGGTGAAAGGCGGGCAACGACACCAGGCTATAACTCGTGGCACTACCTCCGGCACTCCACGGCATAAGCTCCTGGTACGGCTAAGGACCAAATAGGGAAGGGCTGCTGCCCTCTCCCAGCTGACAGGCAATGATCTCTCCTCTAGATGAATCTGTCTCTTCCAGATCATCTCTGGCCAACAGTGACATCCAGGACGAGTTCCTTACGGAATGTCAGAAAGCACTGACGCCTTCTGCGTCAGTTAACCTGGCCAATTTAATTGCAGAATTTGCTACAGCCCGCACCTCCTTGCTTTCTTCGGTCGGGTCCTTAAAAGACACCATTTCCAAGAAAAATGAAGTTTATGCAGGCATTGAAAGCCTCAGTTCATTCTTTGTCAAAATGACTTCACTCTACGCTCAGTCTTCCGCCAGCGAGGGTCTCACTAGAAGACTCTACGCTATCGAAGACAAGATAGAAGCCCTTTCAGAGCATGGCCTACTAGCAGACAAGGCTGAACAAATCGAGAAACAACTCGAGCGAGTCGCTAACGTCGGCGCGTCCTACGCCAATGCAGCCAAAACCAGGGCACAACCACCCAAGATTACCACCACTACGGTCAAGTCTATCACTCCCAAGCCGAAGAAAGCCATGATAATTACGCCTATAACTGGCTCTACGGACCTACTCTCCTGCGAAGACACTCGAAAGGCCCTAACTAGCCGCATCACTCCAGCCGAGCTGGGAATAAAACCAGATAAGCTGCTCAGAACAGGCAAATGCGGAATCCGCATTGAAGCCGCCGAGATCGACCCTGACAAGGTCAACACTGAAGCCCTACGCAAGGCTGGCCTACAGATGAGCATGCAAGGCAAACTCAAACCAAGACTCGCAGTCTTTGGGGTTCCAAACGAGCACACGGCTAGCACACTGCAACAAGAGATTCTGAACAACTTGCCGGATTCCGAGCCATTGACCATTGAGGTGAAAGCCAAATTCGGCCCAAGGGACAAGTCTTATAATCACTGGGTCATCGAAACCACACCAGACATAAGAACCAAGCTCCTAGACAAAGGTCGTATTTACATTGGATGGTCAGCTTGCACAGTCAAAGACCACGTACGTGTGGTGAGATGTTTCAAATGTCAGAAATACGGGCACCTGCAAAACGCCTGCCGTAGCTCGACAGCTTGTGGTCACTGTGCTGAAGAGCACGACACTAGCCGATGCCAGAATAAAAATTCGGATCCTACCTGTCTCAACTGCAAGAAGGCTGGTCTTAGAGATTTCAAGCACGAAGCGTCCTCTAGCCGATGCCAAATGTACATTCGACGCACCAAAGAAACCATTTCAAACACTGATTATGGACAATAATCATAACAAACCTTCGATCGTAGCACAAGCTAATCTCGCCAGGTCAAGAACTGCAACAGCTGAAAGCCGACAATACGCTGAAGCCAATAACATTTCCTTTATATGCCTCCAGGAGCCCTACTCCACCCAGAGGAATAACCTACACTACATTCCAGGCTTCAATAACTTGAAAATTGCATACTCCAAAGCTCAGCAGCCATCTGCAGCCATAGCCGTCCTCGACAACAGCTTGGACGTTATTAACCTATCCCAATTCTGCACCCAAAACGTGGTGGCCTGCCAATTCGCCGATAACCACAAATCATGGGTAGCGGTTAGCATATACTGCCCCTGGGATGAGGACTTGGATCCCTCCCTCAGTGCTCTAGAAGAGATCATTAGAACCATACATGGCAGACCCATCCTCATCATGGGCGACTTCAACAGCAAGTCGGCAGCTTGGCACTCTAAGAGTACTGACGACAGAGGCCTGGTCGTGGAAAACTTTATTGCAGCCCACAATCTCCACACTCTAAATGCGGCAGGGCAGCCATTTACCTTTTGCACTGCAAATGGCGAAAACAACATCGACTTAACTCTAGTAAGCAACAGCCTTTTAACACAGATCCTCAACTGGAGGGTAGTGGATGGAGCTGTCCAAAGTGATCATCGTCTCATCACTCTCTCAATGTCCACGCAGCCGGGGCCTGCACCAAGTCCAAAGCTAAACCTCAGACGTCTTGATCTTGGAAGACTAGACATGCTTGCCTTAGAACTCTCACACCAACTAAGCGATCAAAATCTCAGCAGTCCGGCTCATATCGATGCGGCCATCGAACAACTCACTCAAGGCCTGTTTAATATAACTAGCAGAGTCGCCAAAAAGAATAACTCCAACAAGGCTCGGCCTACCCCATGGTGGAACCCGCACCTCCAAGCTCTGAAGGAAAATGTCAGACTAATCAGACGCCGTGCCCAACGAGCCAGGCGTAGAGAGCTAGCTGAGTTCTTGGAACTCCACGAGGCCTATCGCATAGCACTCTCTGAATATAAAAGTCAGATCCTCACAGACAAAAAGAATTCATGGGGCACCTTCCTTGAGGAACAACTTGGGCCTAACCCATGGGGAGTCGCCTACAAAATAGCCGCCAATAAATATAAACTGACCACGATGGACTCATCTGTCTTCAAAACTGATGGAACAGCCACCATCCTCCAAGAGGACATGCTGGACGAGGTGATGAACAGGCTTCTCCCTGAAGACGATGCTCAACTGGACTCTCGGGACCAGGAGCAGATCAGGGCAGGCTGTGATCTTTATACTGGCAACCACGAGGCATTCGTACAGATAACTGAAGATGATCTCAACCATGCAGTAGCTTCCATCAGCCCCTACAAGGCCTGCGGCCCTGACGGCATCCATGGCATCATTCTTAAACTCACTTATGCACATCTAAAACCGATTCTATTCCGCATATACAAATCCTGTATAAACTTGGCATATTTTCCTTCAGCTTGGAAACGTGGCAGCCTTATTACGATCCTTAAGGCACCAGACAAAGATCCAAGTGATGTTAAGTCTCTGAGACCCATCACTCTTCTGTCAGAATTCGGCAAAATTTTCGAACGATTGCTCTTGATTTGCACACACAGAGCTATCCCCGACAACATTCTCATTCACCAAGCCCAATATGGCTTTAGACCTCGCCGATCCACAATCGACGCAATCAGAGATCTTACTGATCACATCAGAACTGCCACTAAGCACTGCATGGTGATTTTTATCGATATTAGCGGAGCCTTCGATAATATGTGGTGGCCCAGCCTATACAGAAACCTACATATCAAGCATCTTCCTGCTCAACTGGTCTACCTGCTTAAGGACTACCTGAGAAACAGAGTGGTCGAGTCAAGCTCCAATTTTACCTCCGTCGCTAAAACTCTTACCAAAGGCTGCCCACAAGGCTCGGTGCTCGGTCCCACCCTCTGGAACCTCACCGTAAACCCTCTTTTGGAATCTGACTGGCTGGCTAGTACTAAGATTGTCGCATATGCAGACGACCTGGCAATCTCCATACACGGAGATTCCAGAATTGAGCTCGAGAACCGGGCTAACTCCTGCTTAGATATTGTCAACTCCTGGGCTGCGACGCACAAGCTACAAATTTCACAACAAAAAACTAACTATATCATATTTTCAAATCTGTCATTCAACAGAAATCCTGTCATCCGGCTAGGGGGCGTGCCCCTTAAGCGGGTAAGAAAGACCAAATATCTGGGCATCATACTCGACGACAAACTAAACTTCGAACACCATATCAGATACATCAATGACAAAGCCAGAAATATTTTCCACATGCTTCGTCGCTTTCTCCAACGAAACTGGGGCAAGATTGACTTCCTGCAAAAATCTCTGAAAGATATTTATGACAAAGCCATCATTCCGATCTTAAGCTATGGTATAAGCATATGGGGCCACAGACTTACCAGGGTCACTAACATATCGCAATTTCGGGCTACCCAAGCCATCTGCCTCAGAACCATCACTGGGGCCTACAGGTCAACCCCTAATGAATCTCTTTGTGTGCTGGCCAAATGTGTCCCAATCCACCTTGGACTTCAAAAAATAGAAGCTGTACTTAATCTAAGGAGATATGGTCGAGCCCATTTTCTTGGCAGAGAAATCATTGCAGCAGACTACCGCTATTGGACGGTAGTCCTCTTGGAACTGAAGGCCAACATTCTCCGCACGTGGCAAGCGGAGTGGGACTCTTCAACCAAAAGAAGACTTGTCTTTGAAATCATCCCAAGCATCGAGGAATGGATCACCTCACACAACTCTTCCCTACAGAGGAACACCGTCTTGCTTCTATCAAGCCACGGCAACTTGAACTTCCATCTGCACAGGATAGGAAAAATGCATACTCCAGATTGCTCCACATGTTTCGTCCCAGACACGCCGTCACACAGGATACTGTCCTGTGAGGCCTTCGCTGGCGAACGACTGAGAATATTAGAAATTTTGCCAAACCTTCCTGCCAATACGGCAGAGTTGGTCAGTCAGCTGGGAGAGGACATCAACCTTCTCTCCGCGTTTATAAAAGATTTTTAAGGCATTAAGAGAGAATCAGAGTCAACTAGTATTAGACTAAATATTATTTTGTTATTATATTAACCTTAGCAGTTAGTCTGTAAGCGGGCACAATCCGCAAATATTTCTAAAAACATTATTTTCTTGTAAACTAAGCATTGTAACTACCTACTCTCCAAACCTAACCCAAACAGCCAACCACTCCGGAGGTGAGACTAAGGGACTTCGGAGACTTACCAAGGATCCAGCAGAGGCTGCTCCTATGCTCCATCCCACCTAATAATAAAACAGTGTCCTAACCACTCCGCTCCTATGGTATGAGGCCTGCTCAGGAGAGCAGGGGTGGTGGCGGGTCCTCTACCCACCCTTTCCTTTTTTTTTTGTCCCTACCAGTGGGTGGCGGTAGTTGGGATACACACCTAAGTTGAATGTCCCCCTCTACAGGACATGCTTTACAGGTGATATCCTTACTACCAAGCTGAAGATAATCTGTCCGGTTTGCGATGGAACAAACCTCGGCTAAGGACAGGTGGATGCCTTAATTGGATGCCAAATGTCTGAGGCCAGGTCCGTCGAGGCAGATGGATATCGAGAAAGCTCACGACTATCAACTTCCTCGTAGTAGCCACTGGGTAGTTGACGGTCCTTAGTTCACTAAGGGCCATTAACTAGCTAATGATAGTCAGCCGTGCTTTCCATGCGGCATGGCTATGGGGGTAGGAACAGTAGGAGTCTGTCAGTCATGGAGTCGTAAACCTGCGATGCACGTAGCAGCTTGCTGTTAAACGAGTAAGTAGGAACGACGTGATTACGGAACCAGTTTTGTAATAGTCCATCCTGCGGATTCCCAAACCGTGTACCGTATGATCAAGCGGAGAAGTGCCGCTATATAAATAAGATGAAATCCCAGAAAAGGCCAGGAGTTAAATCAGCGGGGGGATAGGTAGTTGACGATACTGCAGCGCAGCGGTCTCTTAGGAGAAAGCGATGAGTGCTATGCAGTGAAGTCGGCTGCATAACTAAGCCCCTAGAGCTGATGTAGATTCCAAATGGCAAAAGGAATAAGTCAAAGAGAGAGATGAAAGAAGTTAAGTTGATAATATGCCCTAAGTCGACAAGGCACACCATTAGGAGATCCCTGAAGAGTGATCAAAAGGTAGGTGTAACATGAGACAGATAGGGTCGGGGGGCGCGTAGAGGGATCTGATGATGAGGGTGACGCCTGTTGATAGGATTCAGATGTGGTCTCCCCTCTGATTCATGAGTACTCCGCGTGATAATTGCTCGTACCCGTCGGATTGCCAAGCCGTGAACCAAGTGATCACCTCCTATCTCTTAATCGATCGATGACCGACTATGGCTGGAGTTGACCGAGAGTACCGCTTGACGAAGTCTCGGGATATACTTCATAAAGCAGTGGGATGGTGGTGATCGAAGAGGAGGAGAATGAAGGGACCCGAATGGATTGGGCCGGAGAAGACGAAGGGCAGAATCAATCAAAAAGACCTCGGTGGAAGAAAGTGATTGTATAGAAATGCGGAGTTTTGCGCTCTAATTTCTAATCGCTGAATTGCGGGCCGAAGGGCGTGGCGGACCAATGTGGTCTGCCCGCCAGCCGGTCCGCCTTTTTTTGTGGTTTGAATGGAGGGTGAGTTGTGCTCTGCCAACCGAGAAAGAGTTAAGAAAAAGTGGGTATGGTAATGGCTTAAGTTTAAAATGGGATGCGAGGAGGAAGGATGAGATCAGCAGGATGGAGCTCATCCAACCTGTCAGTCGTAACTTCTTGAAAGAGAAGCCGGCGGATTCAGAATTTGTAGGTAGGTCACTTCTATTGATATGACATGCAGACAAGTTATGGGTCCAAGCGAAGGAATATCGCTATAAAATTATTCAACTTGGGAGGCGCCGAACAGAAATGGACAGCGAAGAGCATAGCGAACTCTAAGACCTCCTATAGCGTCGTAACCTGGAAGTTCTCGAGGAGATAATGTTGACAACGACCCGCGGCTTGGTGCCACAGGGATAGGCCCCGGTGATACCGAGCTGCGGTAGCCAACACTATCCAGGCCGGCGGGCTTGCCTTAACCAGCTGGCTCAAGTTGAAAATACAACTATAAAAATTCTCTTGTCGTAGGGTTGCGGACGTTGCCAGGCGGCAACCAAGATAGGCGGAGTAGGGCCTATCCCTAAACGTCCGAACTACTAGAAGATGGCGCCTCTAGTAAAATAAGCCTTGTGTCGTATGGCAAAACGACATCAACTTGTTAGATGCCAAAGAATCGTGGGAATAAATATGGATAATCAAATTAATGAAAATGAAAATGAAGAAGGTGAACAGACGGTATGCGGAGAAATTAGGGAAAGGGTGGAGCAAATGGTGACAATGTCGAAGGACATAAAGAAATTTGTGTTGGATGATTCCAACAAAATTTCTAAAGTGGCTTCGTCATAAATTCTAGACAAGGTAGCGGTAATGGAGGAAATAATAGGAAAACTGATAGCGGAGAGAGCGGAAGCTAGGGGTAGGACGGAGGAATGCAGAGCGTTGATAGAATTAATGGCGGCGATGCCTAGTGTGAGTAGCACACCGGTATCACAGGCTAGTACGAGCAGTAAGGTGGTACAGCCTGCGAAACAGAAGGTGGAAGTAAAGACTTTTGCGGTTGCGGTAAAAAGCGATAAAGGTGAGAAAGTAGAAGATATAATGAAGAAGGTAGATGAAATGAGTAGGGACTTGAAGACGGTGAGAGTAAGGACAGTGAGAAAAATAAAGGATGGTGTAGTTATAGAAGCAGCAACTCAGGAAGATGCTGAAAATATACGGACAAATGTGAAAGGGAAGAATTTAAAAATTGCGGAGGTAATAAAAATGAATCCAAAGGTAATAATATTTGATGTGCCGATGGATGTAACAGATGCGGAATTATTGGAGGATTTGTACAATAAGAACGGAATGTCTAGGGTGACAGTGGAAGATTTTAACAAATGGGTTAAAGTAGATAGTCGGAAGAAAATGAGGCACGAATTGGATAACGTTATATTGAATTTAAATGAAGAGATTGCGGAATATTGGATAGGAAAAGAATATGTATATGTAGGGTGCAAGTCTTGTAAAGTGAAGGAGGTTGATATTGTGAAGAGATGTTTTAAATGTTGCAGTGTGCATCTTAGGGCGGATCAGTGCAAGGAAAGAGGGTATGTCTGCAGAAAGTGTGGCGAAAGCTCACCTGATGCAAGAAATTGCAGAAGTAGAGCAAAATGTAGATCATGTTTTGAAAGAACGGGGAAAGAGCTGGCGCACGCGACGGATTCTGGGGATTGCCCAGAATATAAGCGCAAGTTAGAATACTTGAAGAAGAGGAAGATGTTTAATGTCTAAAAACATTAAAATGATACAGTTGAATTGCCAAAGATCGTATGTAGTAATGTGTGAATTAGGGGTATTAATGAAAGAGGAAAACATATCGATTGCGTTGATACAAGAACCGTATACGAGGAATGGAATAATAGTAGGTATACCAGGAAATATGAGAGTAATAATGAAGCAGGATGGTAAAGCGGCAATAATAATAGCGAATGATAAAATAGAGAGTATAGGTAGGATTGAATTAATGAATAAACATATAGCGTGTGCTATGATGAAAATAGGGTTATATGAAATGGTTGTTGTATCAGCTTATTGGCAATTTGGAGAGGATGTTGAAATTATAAAAAGGAAAATTGAGGATATAATAGAGAAAGTAAACGGGAAAGCAACGATTTTAGGAATGGATGTAAATGCGGTTTCTCCCATGTGGTTGAGTAAAAATATAAGGGATGATGAAAGATTTAGAAGAGGTGAAGTGATAGGAGATATGATGGTAGTTAATGATTTAATAGCTATTAATGAGTATAGTGAAGATTATACTTATAGTGGACCAATGGGAGAGAGCGATATAGATGTAACAATGGTAAATGAAAGTTGGAAATTTGAAACTATATGGAGAATTAGGTGTGAATTTGGGGTAAGCGATCATAACGCGATTGAAATAGAAGTAAATTTTAATGAGGATCTTTGGCAAAATAATGATAATAAAATTAGGTGGTCAGTTAAAAATGTAGACTGGGAGAGATATATTGCGACGCTAGAAGGAAAAACTGAGAATTGCGAAATAGGTCAATTTATGAATTATGATGTAAACGAGCAATTGAATATAATATATAAATGGTTAGAGGAAACAAATAAGGAGTGTTTGAAGAAGGTTAAAAAAAGTACTGGAGATGGGTGGTGGAATGAAGAATTGAAAAATTTGCGTAGAGAAATAGGGAAGTGTAGGAGGAAGGTGCAAATAGGTAGGAGAACAGGATTAAATAATGATGAAAGAGAGGAAGAGTATAGAAGGAAGTGTAGAGAATACAAAAATGAGATTAAAAATACAAAAAGGAAGAGATTGGAGGAATATGTTAAGAATGATGGTAATGCGGATCCGTGGAGTAATGCATATAAAATATGTATGGGGAAAAGGAATAATAATGGAATAAGTGTGATGAAGGTAGGAAATAGAGTCACAGAAAGCTGGGTAGAGACAATAAATGTCCTACTCGACGAATGGTTTCCTCCGGGAAGGCAAAAAGGAGAAGAACAAATAGTAGAAGGAAATGAGTTTGATGAATTTACGAGAGAAGAAATAAAAGATGCGGTATTGACTTTAAAAAGCGGAAAAGCGCCAGGTATTGATGGGATAAAAAACGAAATGATAAAGAGAATGTGGGTTGCGATACCAGAGTATATAGAGAATTTATTTGATAAATGTTTGAGGAACGGAATTTTTCCGGATAAATGGAAGGTTTCAGTGTGTGCGAACGGGAATACAATATCTCCATCCCGGCCGGAGATATACGGGTTCCGGGAATCTCCACGTGGGTGTTAACCTACAATTCTGCCCCCGCGTGGTAAAATCGTCTCGTGTTACCTATGTATCTCCGGCAGCGGCCATCTTGGCATCGGCCATAGCAGTAGTACCACTACCAGTGCGCGCGGGTTATTTGAATGAAGGAGAGTTCTCGTAGCTGCGAGAACTCTCCTTTTTTCTTTAAAACACTTGTGGAAAGTGAATCGTTCCTTCGACTCTGCCATTTTCTGTAAACATTTAGTGGAAAGTGCGGAGTGTTATCGCGCCAACGGACACACGTCTTAGCAACCACGGGGCACTACGACCAAGGGAAATGTCAGGAAACAAGAAGGAGGGAGTCCAGCCATCCCTGACGACACCCACACAGGGTCCAACTAACACCGCCAGTGGCCCTGGTCCGCTAAGGAGAGAGGGAACAAAAGTGAACCCAAGGAGGGTAAGTTTTTCTGCCACTCCACCCTCTCTCCAAGCAAACCCGCATCCGCACCGGTGTCCAAAGTGCGGACACGGTTGCGAGACCAATGGGGGGATGCAGAAGCATATGATGCTATGCATAACACGTGACACGTCAAAGTGTCAATTCAGCGAGAGAACCTTCCCCACGTTCCAGGGGGTAAGGCAGCACGAAAAGAAAGCGCATCCAGACCTATATGCGGAGGAAATGGAAGATAGCCTGCCGAGGCCGGAACACGAGCTTTACGAGATCCTTGCGGCCATAGAGGTCTCCACCTTGAAGGGTAAACCGTTCGTAAAAGAAATAGAAAAAGCCACCGGCCTCCCTAGCCATCAGATCCGCCACAAGCGGGATAAAACAATATACACAGAATATCTCGCACGTGTACTACCCCTGGAACGGGGTGCGACGAACTTGATGATCCGTATACGGAACACCTAGGAGCTCCCTGGCCCCATAGAGGTCCCAGCAGTGCTGCCCATAGCCAGTAGCCCCGGGATACACTTTTCTCGAATCCCAGGACCCTCCACTGGGAGGATACCATGGGCAGCACCAGTCACTACCAGCGACAGCGAGTCGAGTACTCGACAACAGCAAGTCAAGATCCCTCCCCACTTCCACCAGAAGTTCGTCAGTTGAGTGAGTCCCCACTGGCTGCTCCAGAAGTGATTGAGATCACTACCAGCCCACACGCGATGGATGAGCAGCCAGAGGAACCCACCATCGATCCCGACCCCTACAGATATCTCCTTTCGTCGAAGGATGAGGTCGAGGATCAACAATATAAGGGGACTCTGAGCTCAACTGACAATCTCATAGGTCTGATCGATGCTGGCATGGAGGCCAGCGATCAAGAACTGTCCTCTTTCATCTAAACCTGGATCCATCAGAACTTCGAGAAGAGGAAGACCACTCGACCTGGGAGGAGGGCCGCTGTGCCGCCTGACACACAAGCGGTGGAGGTGCGTCCCGGGAGCAACCCCGGGGCGCGCTCCTCGGCCGCAGGTTGTCAGGCAAAGGGCAGAGGGAAAAGTACACGGAAAGCAAGGCATTGGAGAGCGCTTCTCCCCCCGATGACGAGGTCATCATCGACCCGAAAACATCCACCTGCACCTTCAAGCCGATATTGCCCGAAGAAGTCGCCCGAGCAAAACTTAGCTGGTCCATATCAGCACCAGGGACCGACGAGGTGCAGGTGATGACGGTAAAGAAAACAGCTGATCGGGATCTGACGATTTTGTTTTCCATACTTTTGATGAGGAACATTCACTTGCAGTCGTTCAATAAAATGAACATGGACCAGAGAGGCTTCACAGAAGTGGATGGAACTATGGCCAACACGATCATCCTGTACCACTACATCCGCACACAGACCGCCTCATAAAGCGGTTCGCTAAACATATTCTCCACTTAAATGAGCACACCCCTGACGCGGCACTTCATGCCAAAATCAGGGACGGTGGCCTTGGTATTTCGGAGCTTCGACATTTTATTCCGGGCGTCTTCCTGAAACGCCTGACCGGGCTTCTTGACCACGTCGACGACCGATGCTTGAGCGCCGTCCTACAGTGTGTCGAAACGCGAGGACTGATGAAACGACTGAATACATTGAAAGGCGACGTTCCAAATGATCATCTGTGGCGAGATCGTCTAATGCAGGCGCCCACATTGAAAGGTCTCGAAAATTCCACAGATGATCCCGCCAGTAGGAGCTGGATAGACCAGAAGTCACAAGGATGGACAGGCCGAGACTTTGTCAGAGCCGTGCAACTGAGATCTAACAACCTGCCCGTAGCGGGCATCATGTCCAACCCGCCGGAAATGCGGAAATGCAGGGCCGGTTGTGACAAAGTTGAAAGCCTGTCCCACGTCCTACAACAGTGTCCCGCCACACACTGGGAGAGGATCAGGCGTCATAACGAGGTAGTCAAGAAGGTCGCCGGGCATTGCAGGAAGAAGCAATGGACGACCTAGGAAGAACCCCACGTCCGGCACCAGGATGGCACACTGTTCAAGCCAGACCCGGTTGTCCACCAAAACACTTGTACGCTTATCGTGGACGTGGGGGTGAATTGGGAGGGAAATCAACCCTTGGGGGTGACGTATGCTGCCAAGAAGGCAGTCTATGACAACAATAAATTCTTGGAGGCTGCACGACAACGCTGGCCTGGCAAGTCTCTACAAGTCTTGCCGTTGATTGTTGGTGCTAGAGGAATCTGGCCAAGGTGCAACGGGCCCACCGATGAAGCGCTCAAACTGACACGGGCGTTGAGGGCGAGCTGTGTACACAGCGCGCTCAAATGGAGCTCTTCGATCCACCAATCGTTTGGTCGAAGAGTCTGGAGACGGCGTTGAGGGCCCTCCTGACATTAGCGTGTGATTAAGGTGCGACGTCGCGGGTGTCATAGTTTTCGCGGTTTTCTCCCGCAAATAATTGTCGAGCAACGGATGGCTATTTCAAAGTGTTGTGGGCGTCCCTAGAATAAGAACGGTTTCAGAGTGTCGTTTCGTCCCTTTTCACTATCATGCTTTATTTTACTATCAACCTGTTTATGCTTGTGGCATTTTTGATTGTATCTAACTTATTTATTTATAAACTCCACTATCTTGACAGTGGTGACTGACCACGCATACTCTCACAGTGTCAGCACCACTTTTCCTTTGAAATTTCAATTCTATTTAGAGATATGAGGACTTTTAATTTTCCCCACCAGGAACTATAGTGAATGTGCTTCGACTTACCCCCGATTGGGGTCATAACTCTGTATCATATTCCGCCCTGCGCGGCGCAGATATTAACCCACAACAGAGGGTACATGTATGCCTCGTCATCTAATTAGTAACGCGCATGAATGGATTAACGAGATTCCCACTGTCCCTACCAGTGGCCCCCCCAAGGAGCTGTAGGACCTTGTCGTGGTAGGGGGGCTCAGTAGCTGCAGTGAATCCGAGAGCGATGCCGGCGGGAGCTTAAGCTCCTGGTAGGGTCACCCAAGCCGGTAAGGTCGAGGAGGAGCAGTGAAGCCAAGAACAGCTCAAAATTAGAGGAGTAAACCTCGAGAAAAAATCCCCAACACCAAGTTGGTGCGACGAGGGTATGGATGGTAGCAGGGTTAGGCTACTATTAGCACCTTCCCTGGGATGTGGCAACCCTTAGGTGATAATAGCCTTACCATGACATGCGAGCTCTGGCATGGTGGACTTATTTTCTTCGCATATTCGTGGGAATAAAAATGATGTCATCCAAAATTTTAGCAAAGGATAGGAATATACAAGACGACTCGGCAACAAACAAGGAAGACGATTTACTCGAAACTATCGATAACAATTCAGTAAGTGAAAGTGAGTCCATTATAATAGAAGGGAATGAGCCTGATAGGTTCAGCCAAAGTACAGAATTTCATAAGTATAATAGAAATAAATTGGGAGACGAAGTCTCAAGCATAATAGAAGAGAGTCTTAAGCAGTTCTCTCAAGGCAAAGAGGTTATTATTAATAACACGAATTCATCAAAAGAATCGGCTGTTAAGAAAAGGCAGATTACAGAAGCTCTAGAGCATATGACAAACGCTTTTACATTAATGCTCTCACATCTTTCACAAAGAGCTGGCGAATCAAAGATCGAAACCAAACTAGCTGAACTAGAAACCAGCATATTAAGAATAAATGAGAAATTGGACACAAATGTGAGACCTTCCTATGCTGAAGTGACTGCCCCCACAGCAAAAGCCCCCAGAATCCCTATTGGGGGGGGAAAGACCGCAGTTCCTACAAAAGATGAGGTGATATTGGTATACCCAAAGGAAGGAAATAGTTTGTTTAAATCGAGCAAAGACACAAGAGACGCCCTATTTAGTATACCTGCTACCCATGCAGGAATTAAAGCCAAGAGACTTTTCCCCATAAATGGAAATGGAGTCAAAATAGTCGCAGCAGAATCAAACTTGAATTTGCAGGCTTTTGAAGAGGCTGGATTGGAGGTTAAAAAGACCTCTAAATTTAAACCTAGACTAGCAATTATAGGCGTTCCTGCTGAATGGGACAGTGGTAAATTAGAAACAAAAATAAAGGAGGATATTACTCCAAAAGCTGCACACCCGATTGACGTTTTAGCAAAATTTAAATTTGGGAGTAAGGAATCTACTGAGCATACTTGGATAATTGAGGTAGATTATAAAACCAGAGAGACCATGTTGGCCAAGGGCAGGCTATACCTTGAATGGACATCTTGTTTTGTGAGAGACCACGTGAGAGTGATACGATGTTACAAATGTCAAGGATATGGACATATGGCAAACAAGTGTCGAAATAAGTTAGTATGTGGCTACTGCACTAAGGAACATGACACAAAGAATTGTAAGAGCAATCAAGACCCAATCTGCATAAACTGTAAAACTGGAAATTACTTGGAGAGAGAATGTAAGCACGAAACAAACTCAAGGGAATGCTTGTCTATGACTATGGACCATAGAACCAAGCAAATAAAAATATGCCAAATAAACCTGCAAGGATCTAGGACGGCAACGTCCGAGATTCGGCAGGTGGCGGTAGTTAGACAATATGATGTTCTTTTGGTGCAGGAGCCCTATAGTTATTTAAATAACAAAGGATTATATCTCATACCAGGATTTAGCGGAATAAAGGTTGTGAATTGCCAAAATACTAAGCCTAAAACGGCAATAATCGTGTTAAACCATGACTTTGATGTCATGAAATTGTCCCAACTTTGTGATGAATACCTAACTTTGATAAGAATAAAGAGTAGAGAGATGGATATGGTGGTGGGGAGCTTATACTGCCCTCCGGAGAACCAAGAAATACTTACAAGAAACTTGGAGAGGTTAGAAATGGTTCTAGGATATGAAAATACAATGAACTCTCTGTTTGGTGGTGATTTAAATGCGAAATCGCATACTTGGCACTCTAGAACTAATAATGAAAGGGGTGTTCAAGTAAACGAGGTTGTTGCCCAAGCTAATCTTCGCATAGTCAACAAGCCTGATTGTCTACCTACTTTCTCAACGGCAAATGGCGAATCAAATATCGACGTAACAATAAGTACTCAAAATTTAAATAACAAGATTGAATCATGGAACGTGAAAGAGGGACTTGTTCAGAGCGACCATAGAATAATAGAAATTTTTATAAGTTTTGGGCAATTTAGGGTTCAAAATACTGAATCCACATATAACCTAAAGAATTTAGACATAAATATTTTGGATAGAGTTGCTTCAGAACTGGAAGTTAAACTCTCTAGACTGGATCTAAACTCAATAGCACACATAGAGGAATTTGTAGTGAACCTAACTGAAGGCTTATCTGAAATGACAGCAGCTGCTGCAAGAAAAAGAAACAAACCTACGCAGAGGGACGTCCCATGGTGGACTAATAATCTAAACAGATTAAAATCGATAGTATTAAGTAAAAGGAAAAAGCATCAAGAGACAAGAAGAAGAAATGGCGATGAAGAAGAAGGACAGATAGCCAGAGAACAATACACGCAAGCCCTTAGGAATTACAAAAAAGAAATTAAAAAAGCAAAGCTGAAAACCTGGCAGAAATTTGTGGAGGACGACCTAGGGAAAAACCCTTGGGGGATTACATACAAAATTGCCTCAGAAAAGATAAAACTGAACACAGTAAATTCAACAGTTAGAAATGAGGACGGAGATATGACATCAGACTATAATGACACGATCGAGGTGATTTTAAATAAGTTAATGCCCAGAGATTCAGAGCAAACAGATAATCCCGATAATATCATCACTAGAGCAAACCAGAGAAATTTTCAGGGAAACCAAGATCTTCAAATAGAAATCATAGAAGACGATTTCGATAAGGCACTTTTTGCCATTAAGCCCAATAAGGCACCTGGGCCAGATGAAGTACAAGGCAAAATTTTAGCTTTATCTACTAAGCATATAAAGCCGAGTTTAATTAGACTCTTCAATGCATGCATAAATCAAGAATATTATCCTAAAACATGGAAGAAAGGGAAAGTGGTCACCATTATGAAGGCCCCTGACAAAGACCCAACTGACCCTAAGTCATTACGACCAATCACTCTTCTATCAGAAATAGGCAAGATGCTAGAGAGAGCATTAATCGCAGCTTTAAATAGGAGTTATCCGAGAAACGTATTATTTAGCCCGAATCAGCATGGCTTTATACCTGGTAGAAATACGCAGAATGCAATCATCTCAGTATTGCAAGCAATTAAGCAGCCGGGAAAGCATCAAATGACGATCTTCGTGGATATATCAGGGGCCTTCGACAACATGTGGTGGCCACAATTAATAAAATATATTGATGAAGTGGGTTTTCCAGCAAAGGCAGTAAGCCTAATTAAGAGCTATCTTATGGACCGACAAATCGAGTATGGCTACAAGTACACAAAGATAACTAAAGACTTAAACAAAGGCTGTCCCCAGGGATCGGCATTAGGACCGTATCTCTGGGGACTGACCATGGAACCCCTCCTTAGGGAAGAATGGCCAGATGGAGTCGAGGTAGTAGCCCATGCCGATGACGTGGCAATTTGTGTCAAAGCAAATAATAGGCTGATATTAGAAGTAAAAGCAAATGAAAGTCTGAGGAAATTAAGCAAGTGGGCAAAGGACCATAAACTTGAGATATCAAGAGCAAAAACGAAGTATGTGATTTTCTCGAATTTATCAGTTAACCGTAACCCTGCCATCAGACTCGATGGACTACCAGTAGGAAGAGTTAGGCAAATGAAATACTTAGGAGTCATCCTAGATGACAAATTAACGTTCACAGCGCATATAGAATATATCATAAGCAAGTGTAAAAATATTTTCATAGTGTTGAAAAAATTTATATTTACGAATTGGGGGAGGCTGCCTCAGGCAGTCAGTATAATATATTTTAGGGCGATAATCCCCATTTTATCTTATGGTTTATGTCATTGGGTGCATAAGGTTGAACTTGGTATGATAAAAAGGAGACTTAGAAGTCTGCAGGCATTATGCTTAAGGTGCGTAACTGGAGCTTATAAAACGACCCCAGCAGAAACATTATGCGTCTTGGCAAAAACTAAACCATTGCATCTGGAGCTACTAGAATTACATGCCTTAGCCGAACTAAAGAGAACAGGAGAAGCACAATATTGGGGAGAACAAGTGATCGCCCAGGATTACAGATATATGACGCTACTCAAGGAGCATCTTACTACAGTAACAATAAATAGATGGCAATATGAATGGGACAATACATCAAAAGGAAGATATACACATGAATTAATACCTAGAATTCGTCCGTGGCATGATAGTCCTCATCAGAGACCGGGAAGAATTGCAGTGTCATTTATTACGAGTCATGGAGAAATGAGAGTTCATCTTTACCGTATAGGCAAAACCGCGAGTCCTAATTGCAATCTCTGCGATACTCCAGACTCCCCATGGCATCGTCTGAGTACATGCCCCTTGTTCGAGGAAGAAAGGGAGTCTCTTCGAAGAGTAAATAATGCTTTAAACTTCAATGGAGATGCGGGGGAAATCCTGATGGACATGGGGCCCGATTTGGACATATTAAGAATTTTTATTAGGAATAACTTTGACAATAGAATGTAACCTAAAAAAGCCAGGTAAATTTATTAAATATTTTATGTCGTAGGTTATAAAGGTAAATTGTACAGTATTATTTTGTTAATAAAGATACGAACATAGAAAAAGCGAAAGGAGCGTGCATAAATACAAATTTTTATCAAATTGAATATAAGCCGAAAGGCAGGAGATTCAATTAATACCATTTAGCATTTCATATAAGCGAAAAGTTATTTTTTGTATCTGTTAAAGATTTTTATGTTTGAGTTATAATTTAATTTCAGTAGCCTGCTTAACAGGGGTGGTGGTGGGAACATCACGCTCCTTTCACTTTTTTTTTTTTTTTTTTTTTGTCCCTACCAGTGGGTGGCGGTAGTTGGGATACACACCTAAGTTGAATGTCCCCCTCTACAGGACATGCTTTACAGGTGATATTCTTACTACCAAGCTGAAGATAATCTGTCCGGTTTGCGATGGAACAAACCTCGGCTAAGGACAGGTGGATGCCTTAACTGGATGCCAAATGTCTGAGGCCAGGTCCGTCGAGGTAGATGGATATCGAGAAAGCTCACGACTATCAACTTCCTCGTAGTAGCCACTGGGTAGTTGACGGTCCTCAGTTCACTAAGGGCCATTAACTAGCTAATGATAGTCAGCCGTGCTTTCCATGCGGCATGGCTATAGGGGTAGGGACAGTAGGAGTCTGTCAGTCATGGAGTCGTAAACCTGCGATGCACGTAGCAGCTTGCTGTTAAACGAGTAAGTAGGAACGACGTGATTACGGAACCAGTTTGGTAATAGTCCATCCTGCGGATTCCCAAACCGTGTACCGTATGATCAAGCGGAGAAGTGCCGCTATATAAATAAGATGAAATCCCAGAAAAGGCCAGGAGTTAAATCAGCGGGGGGATAGGTAGTTGACGATACTGCAGCGCAGCGGTCTCTTAGGAGAAAGCGATGAGTGCTATGCAGTGAAGTCGGCTGCATAACTAAGCCCCTAGAGCTGATGTAGATTCCAAATGGCAAAAGGAATAAGTCAAAGAAAGAGATGAAAGAAGTAAAGTTGATAATATGCCCTAAGTCGACAAGGCACACCATTAGGAGATCCCTGAAGAGTGATCAAAAGGTAGGTGTAACATGAGACAGATAGGGTCGGGGGGCGCGTAGAGGGATCTGATGATGAGGGTGACGCCTGTTGATAGGATTCAGATGTGGTCTCCCCTCTGATTCATGAGTACTCCGCGTGATAATTGCTCGTACCCGTCGGATTGCCAAGCCGTGAACCAAGTGATCACCTCCTATCTCTTAATCGATCGATGACCGACTATGGCTGGAGTTGACCGAGAGTACCGCTTGACGAAGTCTCGGGATATACTTCATAAAGCAGTGGGATGGTGGTGATCGAAGAGGAGGAGAATGAAGGGACCCGAATGGATTGGGCCGGAGAAGACGAAGGGCAGAATCAATCAAAAAGACCTCGGTGGAAGAAAGTGATTGTATAGAAATGCGGAGTTTTGCGCTCTAATTTCTAATCGCTGAATTGCGGGCCGGAGGGCGTGGCGGACCAATGTGGTCTGCCCGCCAGCCGGTCCGCCTTTTTTTGTGGTTTGAACGGAGAGTGAGTTGTGCTCTGCCAACCGAGCAAGAGTTAAGAAAGAGTGGGCATGGCAATGGCTTAAGTTTGAAATGAGATGTGAGGAGGAAGGATGAGCTCAGCAGGAGGGAGCTCATCCAACCTGTCAGTCGTAACTTCTTGAAAGAGAAGCCGGCGGATTCAGAATTTGTAGGTAGGTCACTTCTATTGATATGACATGCAGACAAGTTATGGGTCCAAGCGAAGGAATATCGCTATAAAATTATTCAACTTGGGAGGCGCCGAACAGAAATGGACAGCGAAGAGCATAGCGAACTCTAAGACCTCCTATAGCGTCGTAACCTGGAAGTTCTCGAGGAGATAATGTTGACAACGACCCGCGGCTTGGTGCCACAGGGATAGGCCCCGGTGATACCGAGCTGCGGTAGCCAACACTATCCAGGCCGGCGGGCTTGCCTTAACCAGCTGGCTCAAGTTGAAAATACAACTATAAAAATTCTCTTGTCGTAGGGTTGCGGACGTTGCCAGGCGGCAACCAAGATAGGCGGAGTAGGGCCTATCCCTAAACGTCCGAACTACTAGAAGATGGCGCCTCTAGTGAAATAAGCCTTGTGTCGTATGGCAAAACGACATCGACTTGTTAGATGCCAAAGAATCGTGGGAATAAATATGGATAATCAAATTAATGAAAATGAAAATGAAGAAGGTGAACAGACGGTATGCGGAGAAATTAGGGAAAGGGTGGAGCAAACGGTGACAGTGTCGAAGGACATAAAGAAATTTGTGTTGGATGATTCCAACAAAATTTCTAAAGTGGCTTCGTCATATATTCTAGACAAGGTAGCGGTAATGGAGGAAATAATAGGAAAACTGATAGCGGAGAGAGCGGAAGCTAGGGGTAGGACGGAGGAATGCAGAGCGTTAATAAAATTAATGGCGGCGATGCCTAGTGTGAGTAGCACACCGGTATCACAGGCTAGTACGAGCAGTAAGGTGGTACAGCCTGCGAAACAGAAGGTGGAAGTAAAGACTTTTGCGGTTGCGGTGAAAAGCGATAAAGGTGAGAAAGTAGAAGATATAATGAAGAAGGTAGATGAAATGAGTAGGGACTTGAAGACGGTGAGAGTAAGGAGAGTGAGAAAAATAAAGGATGGTGTAGTTATAGAAGCAGCAACTCAGGAAGATGCTGAAAATATACGGACAAATGTGAAAGGGAAGAATTTAAAAATTGCGGAAGTAATAAAAATGAATCCAAAGGTAATGATATTTGATGTGCCGAAGGATGTAACAGATGCGGAATTATTGGAGGATTTGTACAATAAGAACGGAATGTCTAGGGTGACAGTGGAAGATTTTAACAAATGGGTTAAAGTAGAGAGTCGGAAGAAAATGAGGCACGAATTGGATAACGTAATATTGAATTTAAATGAAGAGATTGCGGAATATTGGATAGGAAAAGGATATGTATATGTAGGGTGGAAGTCTTGTAAAGTGAAGGAGGTTGATATTGTGAAGAGATGTTTTAAATGTTGCAGTGTGCATCTTAGGGCGGATCAGTGCAAGGAAAGAGGGTATGTCTGCAGAAAGTGTGGCGAAAGCTCACATGATGCAAGAAATTGCAGAAGTAGAGCAAAATGTAGATCATGTTTTGAAAGAACGGGGAAAGAGCTGGCGCACGCGACGGATTCTGGGGATTGCCCAGAATATAAGCGCAAGTTAGAATACTTGAAGAAGAGGGAGATGTTTAATGTCTAAAAACATTAAAATGATACAGTTGAATTGCCAAAGATCGTATGTAGTAATGTGTGAATTAGGGGTATTAATGAAAGAGGAAAACATATCGATTGCGTTGATACAAGAACCGTATACGAGGAATGGAATAATAGTAGGTATACCAGGAAATATGAGAGTAATAATGAAGCAGGATGGTAAAGCGGCAATAATAATAGCGAATGATAAAATAGAGAGTATAGGTAGGATTGAATTAATAAATAAGCATATAGCGTGTGCTATGATGAAAATAGGGTTATATGAAATGGTTGTTGTATCAGCTTATTGGCAATTTGGAGAGGATGTTGAAATTATAAAAAGGAAAATTGAGGATATAATAGAGAAAGTGAACGGGAAAGCAACGATTTTAGGAATGGATGTAAATGCGGTTTCTCCCATGTGGTTGAGTAAAAATATAAGGGATGATGAAAGATTTAGAAGAGGTGAAGTGATAGGAGATATGATGGTAGTTAATGATTTAATAGCTATTAATGAGTATAGTGAAGATTATACTTATAGTGGACCAATGGGAGAGAGCGATATAGATGTAACAATGGTAAATGAAAGTTGGAAATTTGAAACTATATGGAGAATTAGGTGTGAATTTGGGGTAAGCGATCATAACGCGATTGAAATAGAAGTAAATTTTAATGAGGATCTTTGGCAAAATAATGATAATAAAATTAGGTGGTCAGTTGAAAATGTAGACTGGGAGAGATATATTGCGACGCTAGAAGGAAAAACTGAGAATTGCGAAATAGGTCAATTTATGAATTATGATGTAAACGAGCAATTGAATATAATATATAAATGGTTAGAGGAAACAAATAAGGAGTGTTTGAAGAAGGTTAAAAAAAGTACTGGAGATGGGTGGTGGAATGAAGAATTGAAAAATTTGCGTAGAGAAATAGGGAAGTGTAGGAGGAAGGTACAAATAGGTAGGAGAACAGGATTAAATAATAATGAAAGAGAGGAAGAGTATAGAAGGAAGTGTAGAGAATACAAAAATGAGATTAAAAATACAAAAAGGAAGAGATTGGAGGAATATGTTAAGAATGATGGTAATGCGGATCCGTGGAGTAATGCATATAAAATATGTATGGGGAAAAGGAATAATAATGGAATAAGTGTGATGAAGGTAGGAAATAGAGTCACAGAAAGCTGGGTAGAGACAATAAATGTCCTACTCGACGAATGGTTTCCTCCGGGAAGGCAAAAAGGAGAAGAGGAAATAGTAGAAGGAAATGAGTTTGATGAATTTACGAGAGAAGAAATAAAAGATGCGGTATTGACTTTAAAAAGCGGAAAAGCGCCAGGTATTGATGGGATAAAAAACGAAATGATAAAGAGAATGTGGGTTGCGATACCAGAGTATATAAAGAATTTATTTGATAAATGTTTGAGGAACGGAATTTCTCCGGATAAATGGAAGGTTTCAGTGTGTGCGAACGGGAATACAATATCTCCATCCCGGCCGGAGATATACGGGTTCCGGGAATCTCCACGTGGGTGTTAACCTACAATTCTGCCCCCGCGTGGTAAAATCGTCTCGTGTTACCTATGTATCTCCGGCAGCGGCCATCTTGGCATCGGCCATAGCAGTAGTACCACTACCAGTGCGCGCGGGTTATTTGAATGAAGGAGAGTTCTCGTAGCTGCGAGAACTCTCCTTTTTTCTTTAAAACACTTGTGGAAAGTGAATCGTTCCTTCGACTCTGCCATTTTCTGTAAACATTTAGTGGAAAGTGCGGAGTGTTATCGCGCCAACGGACACACGTCTTAGCAACCACGGGGCACTACGACCAAGGGAAATGTCAGGAAACAAGAAGGAGGGAGTCCAGCCATCCCTGACGACACCCACACAGGGTCCAACTAACACCGCCAGTGGCCCTGGTCCGCTAAGGAGAGAGGGAACAAAAGTGAACCCAAGGAGGGTAAGTTTTTCTGCCACTCCACCCTCTCTCCAAGCAAACCCGCATCCGCACCGGTGTCCAAAGTGCGGACACGGTTGCGAGACCAATGGGGGGCTGCAGAAGCATATGATGCTATGCATAACACGTGACACGTCAAAGTGTCAATTCAGCGAGAGAACCTTCCCCACGTTCCAGGGGGTAAGGCAGCACGAAAAGAAAGCGCATCCAGACCTATATGCGGAGGAAATGGAAGATAGCCTGCCGAGGCCGGAACACGAGCTTTACGAGATCCTTGCGGCCATAGAGGTCTCCACCTTGAAGGGTAAACCGTTCGTAAAAGAAATAGAAAAAGCCACCGGCCTCCCTAGCCATCAGATCCGCCACAAGCGGGATAAAACGATATACACAGAATATCTCGCACGTGTACTACCCCTGGAACGGGGTGCGACGAACTTGATGATCCGTATACGGAACACCTAGGAGCTCCCTGGCCCCATAGAGGTCCCAGCAGTGCTGCCCATAGCCAGTAGCCCCGGGATACACTTTTCTCGAATCCCAGGACCCTCCACTGGGAGGATACCATGGGCAGCACCAGTCACTACCAGCGACAGCGAAGACTCGTGGAATGATCCTCCCCAAATAGAGCTAACATCTAAGAAGCGTTTGCGGCAAGCGGATACCCCGTCACCGGGGGCACAAGCGCCCCCAAGAAGACCGCGAGTCGAGTACTCGACAACAGCAAGTCAAGATCCCTTCCCACTTCCACCAGAAGTTCGTCAGTTGAGTGAGTCCCCACTGGCTGCTCCAGAAGTGATTGAGATCACTACCAGCCCACACGTGATGGATGAGCAGCCAGAGGAACCCACCATCGATCCCGACCCCTACAGATATCTCCTTTCGTCGAAGGATGAGGTCGAGGATCAACAATATAAGGGGACTCTGAGCTCAACTGACAATCTCATAGGTCTGATCGATGCTGGCATGGAGGCCAGCGATCAAGAACTGTCCTCTTTCATCTAAACCTGGATCCATCAGAACTTCGAGAAGAGGAAGACCACTCGACCTGGGAGGAGGGCCGCTGTGCCGCCTGACACACAAGCGGTGGAGGTGCGTCCCGGGAGCAACCCCGGGGCGCGCTCCTCGGCCGCAGGTTGTCAGGCAAAGGGCAGAGGTAAAAGTACACGGAAAGCAAGGCATTACGGCCAGCAGTCCACAGGAAACAATCCTAAAGCAGCCCAGTACAAAAAAACTCAGGATCTGTTCAATGAGAACAAAAGTAGACTGGTGGACCGCCTGCTCGCAGGGAAGTCCCTGGATGACGCTGACGTCTTCCCCTCTGTCCAGGCAGTCGAGGAACTCTTCGGGGGGATATTGGAGAGCGCTTCTCCCCCCGATGACGAGGTCATCATCGACCCGAAAACATCCACCTGCACCTTCAAGCCGATATTGCCCGAAGAAGTCGCCCGAGCAAAACTTAGCTGGTCCATATCAGCACCAGGGACCGACGAGGTGCAGGTGATGACGGTAAAGAAAACAGCTGATCGGGATCTGACGATTTTGTTTTCCATACTTTTGATGAGGAACATTCACTTGCAGTCGTTCAATAAAATGAACATGGACCAGAGAGGCTTCACAGAAGTGGATGGAACTATGGCCAACACGATCATCCTGTACCACTACATCCGCTCCAGGAGAAGCAGAGGAGCCTGCTTCAACGTGTTGGCACTTGATGTCAGGAAGGCCTTCGACACGGTCTCTCACGAGTCCGTCCTCAGGGCCCTTGCCAGGATGGGAGTGGATTCGGGGATCCAAACCTATATTAGGGGCACCTTGACCAGTTCCTCTACCACCATCAAGACTGGCTCTGGCAGCACGCGTAACTTCAGGGTGAGTAGGGGGGATGAACAAAGGGAACCTCTGAGCCCTCTATTGTTCACCCATGTCATCGACGAGTTGATCTGCCATCTAAACAGTGGATCCACTGGCGGAACCCTTGCCCCTCAGGTTAGGGTATCTGCCATGGCCTTCGTCGATGACATAGTTGTCCTTGAAGATGAAATGACCGGCTTGCTGAAGCCAAGTCTGAGTAATCTTCCTCGGTGGCTCACTAATATCGAGCGTGCTCCTTTGAAACCGGATCAAAAAGTAAAGGTCTTGAAGGAGCACATCATACCGAAATAAATGTTTGGGCTTCAAAATCCCAGGGTCACAGGCCAGATATTACGATCAGCAGACCGCCTCATAAAGCGGTTCGCTAAACATATTCTCCACTTAAATGAGCACACCCCTGACGCGGCACTTCATGCCAAAATCAGGGACGGTGGCCTTGGTATTTCGGAGCTTCGACATTTTATTCCGGGCGTCTTCCTGAAACGCCTGACCGGGCTTCTTGACCACGTCGACGACCGATGCTTGAGCGCCGTCCTACAGTGTGTCGAAACGCGAGGACTGATGGAACGACTGAATACATTGAAAGGCGACGTTCCAAATGATCATCTGTGGCGAGACCGTCTAATGCAGGCGCCCACATTGAAAGGTCTCGAAAATTCCACAGATGATCCCGCCAGTAGGAGCTGGATAGACCAGAAGTCACAAGGATGGACAGGCCGAGACTTTGTCAGAGCCGTGCAACTGAGATCTAACAACCTGCCCGTAGCGGGCATCATGTCCAACCCGCCGGATATGCGGAAATGCAGGGCCGGTTGTGACAAAGTTGAAAGCCTGTCCCACGTCCTACAACAGTGTCCCGCCACACACTGGGAGAGGATCAGGCGTCATAACGAGGTAGTCAAGAAGGTCGCCGGGCATTGCAGGAAGAAGCAATGGACGACCTAGGAAGATCCCCACGTCCGGCACCAGGATGGCACACTGTTCAAGCCAGACCCGGTTGTCCACCAAAACACTTGTACGCTTATCGTGGACGTGGGGGTGAATTGGGAGGGAAATCAACCCTTGGGGTGACGTATGCTGCCAAGAAGGCAGTCTATGACAACAATAAATTCTTGGAGGCCGCACGACAACGCTGGCCTGGCAAGTCTCTACAAGTCTTGCCGTTGATTGTTGGTGCTAGAGGAATCTGGCCAAGGTGCAACGGGCCCACCGATGAAGCGCTCAAACTGACACGGGCGTTGAGGGCGAGCTGTGTACACCAATCGTTTGGTCGAAGAGTCTGGAGACGGCGTTGAGGGCCCTCCTGACATTAGCGTGTGATTAAGGTGCGACGTCGCGGGTGTCATAGTTTTCGCGGTTTTCTCCCGCAAATAATTGTCGAGCAACGGATGGCTATTTCAAAGTGTTGTGGGCGTCCCTAGAATAAGAACGGTTTCAGAGTGTTGTTTCGTCCCTTTTCACTATCATGCTTTATTTTACTATCAACCTGTTTATGCTTGTGGCATTTTTGATTGTATCTAACTTATTTATTTATAAATTCCACTATCTTGACAGTGGTGACTGACCACGCATACTCTCACAGTGTCAGCACCACTTTTCCTTTGAAATTTCAATTCTATTCAGAGATATGATGACTTTTAATTTTCCCCACCAGGAACTATAGTGAATGTGCTTCGACTTACCCCCGATTGGAGTCATAACTCTGTATCATATTCCGCCCTGCGCGGCGCAGATATTAACCCACAACAGAGGGTACATGTATGCCTCGTCATCTAATTAGTGACGCGCATGAATGGATTAACGAGCCCTCGGGCCAGTGATTACTTGTTGGAGTATCACTGTAGAAAGCAATTAAGAGATTAAGTGTAAAAAGGCAATTAATAGCTTTCTAAAAACACCGATTGTCTTCAGTGTGTACTGGGCAAGACGGTAAAAAACAAAACAAGGCTAGAAAGAGGACCTTGAAAAGATCATGAGCAATCCAAGAATGAAAGACTTTAAATGTGAATTGCCTAAGGAGAAGAGACCCTTAATGATAATTTACGACGTAACCACGAATAAACCGGACGACGAGATCGTCGAGGACATAAGGACACAGAACTTTGAGGACATCTCAGAGGAAGAATTCAAAAACGAATTCAAAGTAAGATTCAAGACCGGGCCGAAAGGCAAATCAACATGCAACTTAGTTGTAGAGGTATCTCCACAGCTAAGGAAAAAGATGAGTGGCAAGAAATTATACATTGGTTTCACCAGTGTAAATACAAAAGATTACATTGTAGTCCCGAAATGTTTAAAGTGCCAAGACTTAGGTCACATTGGCAAGTATTGTGCAAAAACTGAGAACATATGCAGCCACTGTGGAGAGAGTGGGCACATAAAGAAGGACTGTCAAAAGAAACAAGACCCGAGTGTTTGCATTCCGTGCAAAAACAGGGGGAAAACTTGTAAGAATGGGTCGGACTGCCAGACGCACAGGATGCTGCTGGACAGGATGATCCAGAAAACCGACTATGGCCAGTAATCTCCCCTCGGAGATAATGGCCATAAAGGTAGAAGAAAGAGGATTAACAACTAAGAAAACCCCTTCTAAAAGCCTAAGGGACAAGCTCAGAATGCTATCTTTCAAAAGAAAGAAAAACGAAAAAGATAAAGAAAGCGAACCCATAACAAACGAGGAAACAAAACCAGTCACGAAAACCATATACGACAATATGAAAGTAAATATGCAACTTTCAAGACTGGAAGAAGCAAAGATCCTCACAACTGCCCTAAGGCACTATGTGAGGAATAAGCATATCAAAGGAAACAAAATCACCTTCCCGGTTCCGGGAGCGGTGGATCGAATTCAGCTGAAATGTCATAATATTCCTACAGACGTCACCGAACTGGAAAGACTCCTAAAGCAAGTCTTCGACAGAAGAAACGAGGTCTTGGACCTTGAGGAACTGTACAGTGACTTTGCACAAACCCATGGGAGAGTAGCTTTTGATCATACAAAGCCCTGGCCGGAGTGCCACATACACCTAAGATCACCGTAGCGATCCGAATCGGACAGATCAACTGCATGCGCAGTGCAGCAGTTGGTCACGAGATAAGGAAGGTTGCGGAGGAAATGAAGGTGGATATGATATGCATACAAGAACCCTATACTAAACGAGGGAAAATGATCAACATGCCAATAACGGCACAAATACAAAGCATAGGGCAGAATCCAATGGCAGCAACTGTACTGTTCAACAAGAACTATAGACTGTTTCTGCTGAAACAGTTCAGTGACGAGCACTGCGTCTGTACGGAATTACAAACAAATATCGGCAAATTCATCATTGCGAATATATACTGCCAATTCAATGAGGGCATAGAAGAATACATTGTCAAGATGCGAACAATCTTCCAAACATACAGGAATATCCCTGTCATAATAACAGCAGATGCCAATGCAAAATCAGTGTTGTGGCACTCTGGATCAACAGACGCCAAAGGCGAAGAACTGGAAAATCTCATAAATGAACTTCAGCTTGAAGTACACAACAAGGCAGGTAACCCACCGACCTTTCAGAACAGGGCTGGTGCCGCAACCAACATAGATATCACGATATCGAATGTTAAGGCGGCAAACCAGATCGTGGAATGGAGGGTTGGGGATAACCTAACAGTGAGTGACCACAATCTGATAAGTTTTGGCATCAGAAAGGGAGCGGTAGATATAGGACCAATGGTGAAACGATATGACATGAGTAGAGCAAATTGGGAGACTCTGGCAGCTGAGTTCGAGCCGCCGAGACTGGAAGGAGAGGAAGGAGATGTACATGAATATGCAAGGAGCATAACCCATGAAATTAAGAGAGTAATGAATCTTGCCATCCCCCAAACGCACTCTGCAAAGTACCCAAGAAACGATGCTTGGAGTGAAATGCTCACCAGACAAAGAACCCTAGTCAGAAATGCGAGAAGAAGATATCAGAGATGCGGAGTACATGAAGAACGCCAAAGACTCCTGCAAAGATACAGAGATTTGAGAACAAGTTACCTCGCACAAATAAAAGAGACAAAAGCAAAGAGCTGGGAAAAGTTTATACAAACCCACCTGGAAACGGACATATGGGGAATGCCTTACAAGATCGTAACGAAAAAGGTCAGATGTCCTACCATGCTCTCCTCTCTTGAAAGAGAAGACGGGTCCTTGACCAGGACATGGGAGGAATCGGCCGAGCTCCTGATGCAAACTTTATTACCCTCAGATGAGCACGAGGGTGAAACTGTGGAACAACAAAACACAAGAAGGGCAATGGTACAACCATACCATGAGCCACCAGAGACGATCTTGAATCCATTCACTGAAGATGAAATAACAGATTGCTTAAACAAAATGAAAAAAAAAAAGGCTCCAGGGCCTGACAGCATACCAGTGGAAGTGCTAATGGCACTAAGGCAAAAACTGATCCCAGCTCTGTGTACACTATATAACGAATGTTTGAGACAGGGCAAAATACCAAAAATCTTTAAACAAGCAGATGTAATAATAATAAGTAAAGGGGAGGACAAAGATCCAACAAAACCAAAATCATGGAGACCGATATGCTTATTAAACTCGATGGGTAAGCTTCAAGAGAAATTGTTATGTAAAAAACTTGGTGAGCATAGAGAGACAGTAGGAATCCATCCAGACCAATATGGTTATAGACCTGGAAAATCGACTGAAGATGCGATTAACAAAGCCATAACAATGATTGACAGTAGCGACAAAAAATATGTGATTGCAATATATATAGACATATCAGGAGCTTTTGATAATCTCTGGTGGCCCGCATTTTTCGGAAGACTTCGAGAAATGCGATGCCCGGAAAAACTTTATAAAAGTTTTAGAAGCTACTGTCAAGATAGATATGCAAGTCTGAGCTGTCCAATAGACAAAAAGACAAAATGTCTAACCAAAGGTTGTCCTCAGGGTTCTGTGTGCGGCCCAGTTTTCTGGGATATCATGCTCGAAGAGCTTCTTGTCCGGTTGTTCGAAGCGGAAGATGCACTAGGCACTGTTGCATATGCTGATGATCTGTTAATAATCGTGGACGGGAACAGTAGAAGAGAAATCGAAACGAAATGTAACAATGTTCTTGAGATAGTGAACAGGTGGTGTGATAAAGTCAAACTACGGATATCGACAGAAAAGACTACATATAGCATTGTAAAAGGACAGCTGAACAGAGACCCGCAAGTTCGGATCAATGGTCAGCTGGTCCGAAGAAAGCAAAGAGTCAGATATCTGGGAATCACAATGGATGAATCCAGAATGTTTGCTTATCACATCACCGACGTCTGCAACAGAGCAACATCGGCAATGCACAGGATAACGAGCCTAGTGCAAAGGGAAGTCAGGATACCCTTCAGACAGGTGAGAGCCTACTTGAGCGTGGTATTGGCATCGATAACTGGTTACAGTGCAAGCGTGTGGGTACATAGGCTGCAAAACATTAAGAACAAAGAAAAGGTTGACAGAACACAGCGGGGGTTCCTCGTCAGAATGACAGGAGCCTTCAGTACAACTGCTACGCTGGCCCTGACAACACTCGTTAGGGTCATGCCGATGCAACTTGAGGTGAAAAAGAGAGCAGCCATGTACTAGATCAGGCGTGCAGACTACGCAAAAGTACAGGCTATATTAGGACCAGACATACGAACAAAGAAACAAGTTAATCGTGAAATAGCAAGGCAATGGCAAGAGATGTGGGATCAGTCAGATAAGGCCAGAAGAGTCCATGAAATCTTACCAACAATAGAAGAAATACCACAGTACTTCAACCCGACCCCCGGGTTAGTACATTTGATCACGGGGCATGGGCCCTACCCGAGCTACCTAAATCGGTTTAATTTGAGAGATGATAGTCTGTGCGAATGCGGTGAAGAAGGCACGCCTGAGCACGTAGTTCTGGACTGCTTATTGTACAATGACCAGGAAAACCTAAGAAGAGACCTACGCGGGTTAAACCTCAGAGAAATCTTAGAAGAAGAAGAGAAATACGGAAAACTGAATAAACTAGCACAGAAGGTCTCCCAAAAACAACAGGAGACCTTCAACAATGCCAGAAGATAAAAGAAGAGAAACAAACAACAACAAACTACACAAACAAACAAACACAAACACCGAAACTAAACTAAACTGACCAAAATGAAGAAGAATAAGGACGCGACAAATAAAACACCACGAATCGGGTGGAAAAGTTCCGGAGCAAGGGCCAGAGGCTCGCCGAACTACCACCCGAAAAGGAGGTGCACATGTCTGCCAACCTGCAGGGTAGCAGACAGGTAAATAATTGCATGTAGCATGTAGTAGTAATTAGAGAAATATGTATAACAATATGTAACAAAAACATTCCAACACCTAGTAGATTAGGACCTTTTTACTAACATAATTATAAGGAAAAAAGAGAAAAATACAATAAAAAGAATTGGGAATAAAATAGAAAAAGTTATCAAAATATGATCTGTTTTAAATTCATTAGTTAACAGATTAATAAAGATTTAGAGTAAATGAAAAAAAAAAGCTACTGTCAAGATAGATATGCTTTTGATAATCTCTGGTGGCCCGCATTTTTCGGAAGACTTCGAGAAATGCGATGCCCGGAAAAACTTTATAAAAGTTCTAGAAGCTACTGTCAAGATAGATATGCAAGTCTGAGCTGTCCAATAGACAAAAAGACAAAATGTCTAACCAAAGGTTGTCCTCAGGGTTCTGTGTGCGGCTCAGTTTTCTGGGATATCATGCTCGAAGAGCTTCTTGTCCGGTTGTTCGAAGCGGAAGATGCACTAGGCACTGTTGCATATGCTGATGATCTGTTAATAATCGTGGACGGGAACAGTAGAAGAGAAATCGAAACGAAATGTAACAATGTTCTTGAGATAGTGAACAGGTGGTGTGATAAAGTCAAACTACGGATATCGACAGAAAAGACTACATATAACATTGTAAAAGGACAGGTGAACAGAGACCCGCAAGTTCGGATCAATGGTCAGCTGGTCCGAAGAAAGCAAAGAGTCAGATATCTGGGAATCACAATGGATGAATCCAGTATGTTTGCTTATCACATCACCGACGTCTGCAACAGAGCAACATCGGCAATGCACAGGATAACGAGCCTAGTGCAAAGGGAAGTCAGGATACCCTTCAGACAGGTGAGAGCCTACTTGAGCGTGGTATTGGCATCGATAACTGGTTACAGTGCAAGCGTGTGGGTACATAGGCTGCAAAACATTAAGAACAAAGAAAAGGTTGACAGAACACAGCGGGGGTTCCTCGTCAGAATGACAGGAGCCTTCAGTACAACTGCTACGCTGGCCCTGACAACACTCGTTAGGGTCATGCCGATGCAACTTGAGGTGAAAAAGAGAGCAGCCATGTACTAGATCAGGCGTGCAGACTACGCAAAAGTACAGGCTATATTAGGACCAGACATACGAACAAAGAAACAAGTTAATCGTGAAATAGCAAGGCAATGGCAAGAGATGTGGGATCAGTCAGATAAGGCCAGAAGAGTCCATGAAATCTTACCAACAATAGAAGAAATACCACAGTACTTCAACCCGACCCCCGGGTTAGTACATTTGATCACGGGGCATGGGCCCTACCCGAGCTACCTAAATCGGTTTAATTTGAGAGATGATAGTCTGTGCGAATGCGGTGAAGAAGGCACGCCTGAGCACGTAGTTCTGGACTGCTTATTGTACAATGACCAGGAAAACCTAAGAAGAGACCTACGCGGGTTAAACCTCAGAGAAATCTTAGAAGAAGAAGAGAAATACGGAAAACTAAATAAACTAGCACAGAAGGTCTCCCAAAAACAACAGGAGACCTTCAACAATGCCAGAAGATAATAGAAGAGAAACAAACAACAACAAACTACACAAACAAACAAACACAAACACCGAAACTAAACTAAACTGACCAAAATGAAGAAGAATAAGGACGCGACAAATAAAACACCACGAATCGGGTGGAAAAGTTCCGGAGCAAGGGCCAGAGGCTCGCCGAACTACCACCCGAAAAGGAGGTGCACATGTCTGCCAACCTGCAGGGTAGCAGACAGGTAAATAATTGCATGTAGCATGTAGTAGTAATTAGAGAAAGTACCATGCAGCATGTCGCATGGTACAGTAGAATAGTTAAGTAGTAAAGTAGAAGTAGTATTAGTGCATGACTAGTGCATAAATTGCATGTAGCAGTAGAATAGTAAAATACTAACATAGGTTTAGTAGAGGTGTTGGAGAATTGTCGACTATGTATAACAATATGTAACAAAAACATTCCAACACCTAGTAGATTAGGACCTTTTTACTAACATAATTATAAGATAAAAAGAGAAAAATACAATAAAAAGAATTGGGAATAAAATAGAAAAAGTTATCAAAATATGATCTGTTTTAAACTACCAGTGGGTGGCGGTAGTTGGGATACACACCTAATTTGAATGTCCCCCTCTACAGGACATGCTTTACAGGTGATATCCTTACTACCAAGCTGAAGATAATCTGTCCGGTTTGCGATGGAACAAACCTCGGCTAAGGACAGGTGGATGCCTTAACTGGATGCCAAATGTCTGAGGCCAGGTCCGTCGAGGTAGATGGATATCGAGAAAGCTCACGACTATCAACTTTCTCGTAGTAGCCACTGGGTAGTTGACGGTCCTCAGTTCACTAAGGGCCATTAACTAGCTAATGATAGTCAGCCGTGCTTTCCATGCGGCATGGCTATAGGGGTAGGGACAGTAGGAGTCTGTCAGTCATGGAGTCGTAAACCTGCGATGCACGTAGCAGCTTGCTGTTAAACGAGTAAGTAGGAACGACGTGATTACGGAACCAGTTTGGTAATAGTCCATCCTGCGGATTCCCAAACCGTGTACCGTATGATCAAGCGGAGAAGTGCCGCTATATAAATAAGATGAAATCCCAGAAAAGGCCAGGAGTTAAATCAGCGGGGGGATAGGTAGTTGACGATACTGCAGCGCAGCGGTCTCTTAGGAGAAAGCGATGAGTGCTATGCAGTGAAGTCGGCTGCATAACTAAGCCCCTAGAGCTGATGTAGATTCCAAATGGCAAAAGGAATAAGTCAAAGAAAGAGATGAAAGAAGTAAAGTTGATAATATGCCCTAAGTCGACAAGGCACACCATTAGGAGATCCCTGAAGAGTGATCAAAAGGTAGGTGTAACATGAGACAGATAGGGTCGGGGGGCGCGTAGAGGGATCTGATGATGAGGGTGACGCCTGTTGATAGGATTCAGATGTGGTCTCCCCTCTGATTCATGAGTACTCCGCGTGATAATTGCTCGTACCCGTCGGATTGCCAAGCCGTGAACCAAGTGATCACCTCCTATCTCTTAATCGATCGATGACCGACTATGGCTGGAGTTGACCGAGAGTACCGCTTGACGAAGTCTCGGGATATACTTCATAAAGCAGTGGGATGGTGGTGATCGAAGAGGAGGAGAATGAAGGGACCCGAATGGATTGGGCCGGAGAAGACGAAGGGCAGAATCAATCAAAAAGACCTCGGTGGAAGAAAGTGATTGTATAGAAATGCGGAGTTTTGCGCTCTAATTTCTAATCGCTGAATTGCAGGCCGGAGGGCGTGGCGGACCAATGTGGTCTGCCCGCCAGCCGGTCCGCCTTTTTTTGTGGTTTGAATGGAGAGTGAGTTGTGCTCTGCCAACCGAGAAAGAGTTAAGAAAGAGTGGGTATGGTAATGGCTTAAGTTTAAAATGGGATGCGAGGAGGAAGGATGAGATCAGCAGGATGGAGCTCATCCAACCTGTCAGTCGTAACTTCTTGAAAGAGAAGCCGGCGGATTCAGAATTTGTAGGTAGGTCACTTCTATTGATATGACATGCAGACAAGTTATGGGTCCAAGCGAAGGAATATCGCTATAAAATTATTCAACTTGGGAGGCGCCGAACAGAAATGGACAGCGAAGAGCATAGCGAACTCTAAGACCTCCTATAGCGTCGTAACCTGGAAGTTCTCGAGGAGATAATGTTGACAACGACCCGCGGCTTGGTGCCACAGGGATAGGCCCCGGTGATACCGAGCTGCGGTAGCCAACACTATCCAGGCCGGCGGGCTTGCCTTAACCAGCTGGCTCAAGTTGAAAATACAACTATAAAAATTCTCTTGTCGTAGGGTTGCGGACGTTGCCAGGCGGCAACCAAGATAGGCGGAGTAGGGCCTATCCCTAAACGTCCGAACTACTAGAAGATGGCGCCTCTAGTGAAATAAGCCTTGTGTCGTATGGCAAAACGACATCGACTTGTTAGATGCCAAAGAATCGTGGGAATAAATATGGATAATCAAATTAATGAAAATGAAAATGAAGAAGGTGAACAGACGGTATGCGGAGAAATTAGGGAAAGGGTGGAGCAAATGGTGATAGTGTCGAAGGACATAAAGAAATTTGTGTTGGATGATTCCAACAAAATTTCTAAAGTGGCTTCGTCATATATTCTAGACAAGGTAGCGGTAATGGAGGAAATAATAGGAAAACTGATAGCGGAGAGAGCGGAAGCTAGGGGTAGGGCGGAGGAATGCAGAGCGTTAATAAAATTAATGGCGGCGATGCCTAGTGTGAGTAGCACACCGGTATCACAGGCTAGTACGAGCAGTAAGGTGGTACAGCCTGCGAAACAGAAGGTGGAAGTAAAGACTTTTGCGGTTGCGGTAAAAAGCGATAAGGTGAGAAAGTAGAAGATATAATGAAGAAGGTAGATGAAATGAGTAGGGACTTGAAGACGGTGAGAGTAAGGAGAGTGAGAAAAATAAAGGATGGTGTAGTTATAGAAGCAGCAACTCAGGAAGATGCTGAAAATATACGGACAAATGTGAAAGGGAAGAATTTAAAAATTGCGGAGGTAATAAAAAGAATCCAAAGGTAATGATATTTGATGTGCCGAAGGATGTAACAGATGCGGAATTATTGGAGGATTTGTACAATAAGAACGGAATGTCTAGGGTGACAGTGGAAGATTTTAACAAATGGGTTAAAGTAGAGAGTCGGAAGAAAATGAGGCACGAATTGGATAACGTAATATTGAATTTAAATGACGAGATTGCGGAATATTGGATAGGAAAAGAATATGTATATGTAGGGTGGAAGTCTTGTAAAGTGAAGGAGGTTGATATTGTGAAGAGATGTTTTAAATGTTGCAGTGTGCATCTTAGGGCGGATCAGTGCAAGGAAAGAGGGTATGTTTGCAGAAAGTGTGGCGAAAGCTCACATGATGCAAGAAATTGCAGAAGTAGAGCAAAATGTAGATCATGTTTTGAAAGAACGGGGAAAGAGCTGGCGCACGCGACGGATTCTGGGGATTGCCCAGAATATAAGCGCAAGTTAGAATACTTGAAGAAGAGGGAGATGTTTAATGTCTAAAAACATTAAAATGATACAGTTGAATTGCCAAAGATCGTATGTAGTAATGTGTGAATTAGGGGTATTAATGAAAGAGGAAAACATATCGATTGCGTTGATACAAGAACCGTATACGAGAGTAGAGGGCTTTAGCCATTTCCAAATCTCCCCCCAAGGCCAGAGGAGTGTGACCTTGGGGGGAGTGACCTTGGGGGGAGTTACCTTGGGGGGTGGCCTTGGAGGAGTGACATTCGGAGCGACCTTGGGAGTGACCTTGGGAGTGACCTTGAGAGTGACCTTGGGAGTGACCTTTGGAGGGATAAGGAGGTTTCATCTCGGACAATTGTCGTGGTGGCCTTGGGTTGAGTGTATCCACTCTCGTGCGCATGTGTTCTTCTTCCCAAGGCTGTTTGATGGTGTAGTGGGGTGAGGCTACGCCACGACTCCCCTCTTCTATAAATCCGATTTCTGCATGCCCAGACTGTAGTCTTCCTGACATCGTCGATCGTTCATTTCTATCGTTTCTTTTCGCGAGTGATAAACATGTTGACCTGCGTTTGTGGCCAATCTTTCACCCGCAGTGACAATTTACGCCGCCACCAAAAAAAGTCGTGTGTGGGAAATCTCGATCCACCAATGTCGAAGAGGCCGCGGTTGGGTGATACTATTCATCAAGCATCAACGTCTGGCAACATGCAAGCGTGTACCGTTTGCAATAAAACCGTTCCAATCGATAAAATTGCTGCCCACAAAAGGACTTTGGAACATCGTTCGAACGCTTGCGTTAATTATAGAGATGGTGTATATGTTATCGAAAACGCATTCAAGTGTCGCATTATCAGTTATAGATTGGAATGTAGAACGGATGTCTTGGATTATAACACGTTCTTTACCGAAAATAAGGTGACTTTATCATCCCTATTGGGGAATATGCTGTCGATTCACCACACCATCAAGGTTAATATCGAAGTATTCGGTAGATATATTCTACAATCTCAGGATCTTCACGACATCAACTCCTTTGCGACACCGAATCACATCGTAGATTCATCCCTTGATTTGGATGCCATCATCGATACATCCAAAGACATCATCGTGAACCAAACAACTGAATTTGAGGAACGCGATTCCGGTGAGTTGAGAATGATTTGAATATCTGCATTATCACACCTATATAACTCAATTCTTTGAATAAATAAAACAATCACTTTTCCATTGTTACAGGTTGGGCTCTAGAGAAAATACTATTTCTCGAAATAAACATCAATAAATACAGTCCGCTGCGTGGGTGTTCCTACATCAAACTACCTAGTTTCATAGACAATAAGAGGGCGGTAGTGAATGTGGTGAATCAGGATGAATGCTGTTTTGCTTGGGCCGTGACGTCCGCCCTATATCCAGCAAGGGCCAAACTTTGTGAGATATCTTCATACCCGCACTTCTCTACAGTTTTGAATCTGAGTGGTATAGAGTTTCCTATGAAAGTAAGTAAAATTCCAAAATTTGAAATACTCAATGATTGCTCCATCAACGTTTATGGGTTAGAAAGCGTAATAGAAAATCAACAGGTTAAATACCACGTTGTCGGCCCACTCTATTATTCGAAGAAAAGAATGAGTAAACACGTGAACTTGCTCCTTATAACGAATGATTCGGGTGAGAGCCACTATTGTTGGATAAAACATTTATCTAGATTGGTGTCCGCCCAAATGTCCTCGAACGGGCATAAGAAATTTTTCTGCGATGGGTGTTTGATACATTTTTCGGATGAGGCTAAGCTATTACGCCATCAATTGAGCGACTGTAATCACACATTTACGACAACACCAACTACAGCAGTGAAAGTAGATAAATTTGGAAATTCAGTACCTGAAAATATTTTAAAATTTGAGAATTTTGAGAAACAAATGATGGTACCTTTTGTTATATATGCGGATTTCGAATCAGTTTTGAAGCCGATACACACTAGTGAGCCGGACCCGAAGAAATCCTATACTAATAGAACATTTGTGCATGAACCATACTCATTCGCATACCTCATCAAATGCTCCTACGACAATTCCATCACGAAATTTGTTACATTCCGCGGAAAAGATGCGGCGAAGAAATTTGTATCTAGTATAGTAAATGATTCGAAAAAAATATATGACTTATATCTGAAGAACGTAGTTCCAATGAGAAAATTAACGAAAGTAGAAGAAGCCGATTTTGCTAATGCTAGCGAGTGTGGCATTTGCGAAAAACCATTCCGGTTAGGTGATGTAAAAGTGAGAGATCACTGTCATTTGACGGGTAAAAAAAGATTTGGGGAAGCACATTCAGCATGCAATTTGAATTACAAAATCCCGAATTTCATACCAATTTTCTTTCACAATATGAGCGGCTATGATAGCCATCTATTCATAAAGCAATTATTTGATCGCGAAGAGAAAGTTGATTGTGTCGCACAAACTAAGGAAAAATATATTTCATTTACTAAGCACATTTTAGTTGGTGAATATTTGGGGAAAAATGGTCAAAATCATAATATCTTTCTGAAACTCCGATTCTTAGATAGTTACAAATTTCTCGCACAACCTCTTCAATCATTAGCCGGGAATTTGAATACAGATCAGTTTGTCGAAACGGCTAGATATTTTCCAGATCGCGAAAGATTCGAATATATGACACAGAAAGGTGTTTTCCCATATAGCTTCGTAACCTCCATAGATAAACTCGACAATCAAAATTTACCGACTAAAAATGATTTTTACGATAATTTATCTAATAGGCACATTTCAGATGAGGATTATCGAAGAGCTGAGCACGTGTGGAAATTATTCGAATGTAAAACGCTAGGGGATTATTCAGACGCTTATTTGAAATCGTATGTTCTTTTATTATGCGATGTGTTCGAGAACTTTCGGGAAGTTTGTTTGAGAACGTATAAGTTAGATCCGTGCCAATATTATACAGCACCCGGTTTATCGTGGGATGCTATGTTGAGGTATACGAAAATCGAATTGGAGTTGTTGACCGACATTGACATGATAAATTTCTCCAAAAAAGGCATAAGAGGGGGGATAAGCCAATGTAGCTTGAGGAGCCATGTAGCAAACAATCAGTTCCTTCCAAATTTCAATCCAAGCGAGCCTTCATCATTCATAATGTATTTAGATGCGACTAACTTATATGGGCATAGTATGTCACAACCGCTACCCACTTCCGATTTCAAGTGGTTAACTAATCAGGGAATTAGCGAATTAGATATAATGAGTGTTGCAGATGATAGCCCATGTGGGTAAGTACTCGAAGTGGATGTGTACTACCCCCAAGAATTACATGATGTCCACTCAGATCTCCCTTTCCTCGTGGAATCCATTGTCCCTCCTGGTTCGACTTCTAAGCTGAAAAAACTGATTCCTAATCTTTTCAACAAAATTAAATATATCGTTCATTATAGAAATCTGAAACAGGCTATTGGAAATGGTTTGGTATTGGTTAAAATCCATAGGGCCTTGAAGTTTCTTCAATCACCATGGTTGAAAAAATACGTTGACCTCAATACAGAGATGCGTAACAAAAGTAAAAACAAAGCCGACAAGTGTTTATACAAGAATATGGTGAACTCAGTTTATGGTAAAACGATGGAAAATGTAGATAAAAGGAGTGATATCAAACTTGTTACCCATTGGGAGAGTATAAAATCGAAAAAGGGTGCCAATGTGTTGATAGCACTCCCAAATTTCAAAACCTGTAAGGTATTCCACGAAAATTTTGTCGCTATCCATATGGGTAGAGTGAGGGTACATTACGATAAACCGCTTTATTTAGGTTTCAGTATATTAGATGTGTCGAAAGTTGTTATATATAATTTTTTATATGAATGTATTAAGAAAAATTATGTCGAGAAATCACAGTTACTGTACACGGACACAGATTCATTGATATTGAAGATAGAAACAGAAAACTTCTACAATTTCATGAAGGAAAATATAAGCTATTTCGACACATCTAATTATCCTGCAGATAATAAATTTAATATCCCAATCACAAAATCCGTAGTAGGAAATATGAAGGATGAATTCCCGAATGACCCTATTGTAAGTTTCTATGGAACCGGTGCCAAAGCATACTATGTTCAATCTTTGAGCAGCGAATTGAAGAAAGCAAAGGGTGTGTCTAGAGCAGTCGTTAAAAATCAATTAACTTTAGACGATTATAAGAAAATTGTTGAAAAGGGTGGTTTGATATTCAGAAAAATGTGTAGTTTCCGCAGAGAGCGACATGATATCTATACTGAAATGAGGAACAAAGTCGCCCTTTCATATCATGACGACAAGCGATTTATCATACCTAATACGGCTAAAACATTACCTTGGGGGCACAATGACATCGAATTTTATCAAACGAGCCCCGAACGTAATTTGCTTTGGTTCCAACAGGCGGTTGGTTCTATGGAAGCATCAGGCTATAAAGATAATTCCGATGATGGTAACCTGGATTACCTCATAAAAATGTTGATGGAACAATCCCAAACTTAATAGTGAATTCTATACCCAACTCTGAATTAATTGTAAAAATGAATGTTTTTAGATTAATTTCCTTCTTGTATTATATCCATTGATATTTTGCGCTTACAAATGTATTATATCCATTGTACATGTACATATTTATTGAAATATATATTTTTGTATACTGCTATACTATACCGCGTGTGTGTGTGAATAAATCTTTTATTCAATTGAATTTTGTTTCCTTCGCACCTCAGATAATGACCTTCATGATGCGTGGTATAAATGTCCTTGGAATGAAATCGCCCTTGGGGTGTCAATACCCACAAGGTGAAAATAGTGTT